GCATTCAAAACCCAGCCTAGGCTCACACAACTTGGTGCCTAGTATCATGGCCTCCTCACGTCCACCCATTTCATGGGTCAGTGGTGTTGATTAACTAGCACACCAGTTAAAAGTGCATCCCTCCACAGATCAAAGCCTAAGCAACTCTGCAAAGGTTTCTCAAATGGGGCCCATAGAATTACATATAGAACTAATGGTCATTGACAAAATCCCATGGACAGGCAGGTATTTTGTCCTGTCCCACCAGCCCCACCTCTCACTCACAGCCAGAGCCTGGGAGCAAGTGGAAGATCACCAGTATGCACTTTTTTTGCCCTGGTCAGGTAAAATACAAGCTATTCTCAGCAACCTATTCTTACCCCAACATCCAGAGTGAAGTGCAAACTCCCCACTACACAAACTCCCTGGCTCTCTAGCCAGAAAGAAAACAAACTCCTTACCCAACACATACCTGAATGAAACTCCTAGTGAGATGACATAATCCAGATTTAAAAATCTGTGAACCTTCTTTGTATTTGTTTTCAGCATTTCTTCTTTTCTGGTGAACAACTTTGTCTTCACTCGAGGAAAAAGAAATGCCACATCCCTCTGTCACACTGGTGCTCTAAACAATAGCATGAACTGGTTCATGGTGAGGTCTTCTTCTGAGGGGACAGCAGCTCAATCATCAGCACTGCCATGGATTTGCAAAGATTTCACCCAAATGCCAGTGTGGATAGTAAGGAACAGTGGTCAACTGTTAAGTTAACCATAAGTTGATCTTAAATGGTTAAAATAGTACATTAACAGCAGGTTAGATAGGTTCACTGACAGGACTGGAGAGCTTTCAACAGGCATCTGTCAAACTCCCAGCACTGCAAACTCTCGGTGTCTTTATTCAGGGATGCCACACACAGAGTCATTTTTATGACACTAAATCTGCCAGTGACCTGTTACCAGAATATCCATAGGGTCAGAAAGACTTGGAGGCAAAAGCAGGAGCAGCATCATTTGCTGGAGATGTGGCTGGATGCTCCACACTTACACCAGCTGCAGCCACCACACGCAGGGGAGCTCTTTGCTAATCTGAGATAATCAGGAACGTGACAAAACCTACAGCTTCTTACATGGATGCAAATTTCTCTAGAGTTAATCAGGGCCGGACTGAGGGAAGAAAACCTCAGCAGATATCCAAGGAGACTTCTTAAAACTTGGGCCTCCTGGCCCTGTGGGCATTGAACGGATCAAGTCCTCTCCTAGTGCTGAGCACAGGGAATTCAGCTCTGACACTGAGCTTAATTAAATAGAAATATGAAGTAAGAAAGAAAGGCTAATTAGATAGAAATGCAGAGTTACAGGATGTGAATGCTGATTAACCTAATAATAGACAATAATGTTGTTAAGGGGAGCTAAATGGTTTGTTTAATGGATGAAATGATCTATAGTATATAATATATAAAGTACTTAACAGTAAACATTTAATTACCACTTCAGTTGCATTTTTCTTTACTGCGTGGAGAAAAAGTGTTTCATAAAAGAGTTACTGGATGGGAGTAATTTACATTCCTGCAAAAACATCTGTATCATATGTGAAAGAGCAACAATGCTTCACAGACACAGCAAAAAGCCTGAAACACAATGAGCAATGTTGGGAGCTTCCAGATAAGGGAGGGAAAAGCAAAATAAAATACCTGTCCTCCTGATCTGGAACATCACTACCTCTGTGGGGCAGGACATACAACCTTCCCTGACATGCCTGCTCATGGGAAAGAGGGCTTGGGAGGCAGAAGATAAGCACAAGACTTCACATGACAGCTCCAGGAGCAACTTGCTGAGAATTTAGGAAGGTGGCCACTTGTCACAGGGGAGCAAAGCCAGACTCTGGTGTGGGTTATGGGGAAGGCTCTTAGGGGGCTGAAAGCATCTCTAGCTAATGTGAACCTTCATGTGATCAGCAAGAGCAAAGCCATGGCCTGGCCACTAAAACACCTTGTCTGCTCCCAGCACAGATGCTCTCAGTATGAGCTTTCCTCAAATTTCCTTAGAGGGACCAGAAGCCTGGCATACGGGAGGTGTTCATCAGACAGTTGGGATGTTTTCTACCAAGGTAAAGAACTTGCAGATTTCATGAGTACCTCTGTATGGCTGGATGGCTCAACCCACAGCATCACCTTCAACAGCAAACACAGCACATTGTGCAAAATCAATAGTCAGGTCTCTCCTGGAAGGCTCTAATAAAGATGTACAGAGGCAATCCTGGACATTAGAGAGGGGAAGTCACACCAGGAAGGTCTCACAGGTCTCTGAATTGGAGATAGAAGAAATCACAGTCTGCAACACAGGGGTTTCCTTACAGGTCTGACTTCTGCCATTATAGCCAACCTTGTGGCAGTCACAGAAGGTGCGCTGAAGGGGAACACAATCCCCTTTAGGACACAGAGCAACAGGTCTGCACTTCTCTTACTGGTGCAGCAGCAACCCCAGTGCCATCACATTCATTGGGCTGTGTCATGCTGACTAAACAATGTGAATGTGTGCAATTTAATTTTAATACTTTGCACTCCTGCTAGAGCTCTTCTTTCTCCTACCTTATTGCAAAAGCAGCTGGGACAGAGGCAATGATCTGTACTCGGTGGAGCTCACCCCTCTGTCTGGCAGGGTGACCCATGGAACAGATCGTTTAATCCCACTTAGATTTCAAAAAACAGCCTTGCTTGCATGTCATCATTACTGCATGACTGTCACCCTCCCTGATGCAGCATAGGTGGTACCTGAATTTCTATCTATTAATTCATAAGAAAGTGCTGAGACAAGCAGAGTGCATGTGAAGTAGTCACTCAGCCTCAGTAAGAGAGCGCTCACAAATGCAGGGAAGACATGGGACAATGCCACTGCTAGGAAAATAAAACCTGATATTAGACTATGCCCCTGCCAGGGAGTTGGGAACCAGGACCCCAATAACTAGCAAATCCCCTTACAGGTCTAACTCCTCAGAGTCTGAAGAGATCACCAAATACCTATCAGCAGTGCATCAAAACAGCTTGCAAAATCTGCCCATCGTTCCTGGCGGAGAGCTGCACATTGGCCAGTGAGAAGTGATGCCTAGCTCGTTACCTGCACCACGGGGCCAAGGAGAGCAGGCTGGCCATTAACTGCCCATGATGAGCTAATTAATCATGGGCACTTGCTGAATTCCTGTTTCTGCACCATTATTAATGACTCTGTGGATTGGGCCAGGCAGCAGACTGGCAGCAGAGGCTCCTCCACCTGCTGAAACAGCAATCCAGCTCTGCAGAGGGCACCAGCTTCACACAGCTAGCAAACAGGAGAAATTGCTGAGCTCTGCTCCAAACTCCCACCTTCTCCTTGGGGTTGCAGAGTGACTCCCAGCTCCACTCTGGGCCTCAGACTCCCTGCCACAAGGCCTTCCCAGGTAGCATAAGCTGACACTGAAGGACATCCCTGATACAAACTTCTCCCCTCATGTGGGGGTTGCTGTGGGGCAACTGACACCAGTCAATGCCAGTCCCCTGCCATATGTAACACCCTGACTTCTGCCTTGCCCACTCCCAGGCACTCCAGACTCACCTGGTGCCATGTGGGCCTCCTCCATCTGTAGAGGCTTCCTTCTACATTCCCAGAGCGAAGCCCAGCTCTCCCTGCAGCATGGCGAGGCCTCTCAGAGCCAGACCCAGCAGCCCGTGAGCCTGTTCCTACTCCAAATGTGCTGCCAGGGCTTACATGGCCACAGCCTGCACATGGCCAGTGAGCCCAAGTGCTGCTTGTTTGGAGCAAGATGACATCACTGGGAATTAATTATGCAGCTGAGCCGAGGCAGCTGACAATGAATTATGCACATTGACCCCCCCCATCTGCCTTCTCGCCTCCCCTGTTTTCTTTATCTTTCTGGGTGATGGAAATGAGACTGCATGAGGAAGGGCAAACAGAAGGCATGCACAGGGCCTCTGGGTTTCACTCCTGCCCTGCAAGGTCCTAGCCCTAGCAGAGCTGGCCCAGCTCAGCCTGGCAGAAGCCATCATGTCAAGCCCAGGCAGAGCCCAAGTAGCCAACTGCAACAATAGTTTCAGGGGCACAGCCTGCCTCTTCCCCTCCCTCCACCACAAGACTTGATTTGGATCCATCCCAGTGCCACAGAGGTGAGAGGGTAAAAGGTACTAAACCCTCCGGGCCATGTGGAAATGATGGAACCGTGCAAGTACAGTCTGGCCAGCTACCTGTGCTGGCTCTGAGGCTTGCACTCCTGCATGCTAAAGCAGAGGACTCTGGCAGTCCATTCATCAGAGTGCTAATTGATACATATTTGCATCAGATCATATTCCAACCTTTGGCCAGAGCTTGCTATTTACACACTGCATCCTGTGTGCAGCTGCACTGAGCCCGTCTGGAATGAGGCATCTAAGGGAGTAGCCCTAAAATAGTTAGCTATGAATTGTGAATCCCTCTAATCCTGTCCCTCACTGGTCCCAAATCACTCTCATTGAAGGGCAGAAACACACCCTTTCTGCAGGTGAAGAAAAGACCCCATTAAAGAGCAGACCCCAAAGCCAGCCTGGAAATTAAGAGCTCACACAGGTGTGCCAACAGGCTAAAGGGAGCTGGGATATGTTTGGCCAGATGGGACAGGGTGTCCATGAGGTGTCATACTCCCATCAACAAACTTGCCTTAGAGGATGAGATCACATCACCTTGCGGTTAATAGCTACTGAAAAGCAAAGGTCTCAAATCCTTCCATACATTACATTCATTTGGTGTCAGGTCCTCACAGCAGACAAGAACAGAGGTGGCTGCTAGAAGAGTTTATTCTGCTGGTGCCCTTGTTCAGGGAAGGACCAGCGTTGTCCTCTCCATCCCACGTGTTTGTAAGAACTCCCAGTGTTAATGGTGACTGGACAAACCAAGCCTCTTTGAAGCTACTCACCTCTTTGAGGAGAAAGAGGTCCTGAATTGTTTCGGCTTAATATAAAGGCAGGAAAAAATAAGAGAGAGAAACTGACGCAGGATTTAGGATGACACAAATTATATTTCTGAACATCGCCAAGAAACAAAATGGGACAAATCCATCTAGTAATTGTCACTGGAACTGGGCATCACAGCTCTGAATACAATGGGAATTGTTCAGCTTTGTTTAAACAAAACAAAAGTTAAAATAATTAAAAAAACACTCAAAATCCAAACATTTCTCAGATCACTGTGGTTAAACTCAGACTGAATTAACAAGAGGAACAGAGATTGCCAATACATTGCCAAAGTCGTTGCCATTTGATTCAGTTAAAGAGAAGCAATAAGCCCAAAACTGCATCTGGCAAGTTTCAAGTAGGGACCATCTACATGAAATGCGGACGAGGGACAGGATTAGCAGAATATGCTGTAAAAACAGGTGAAGGAGTTGTAGCCATAAAACACAAAGTACAAGTTCGTACAGACCAGCCTTCACTGCTGTAGCTTCTCCACTTAGTTTCATAACAAAATTTCTGAAATGGCCTTCTAATTCTCAGCCCCCATATGCATCACCTGCAGACCCCAGTCCTCGCCAGGTGGTAAATCTAGCTCTGGGCACCACCCAGGACCCCCTTCTGACAAGAATTTGCTACTCAGAAGCGTCCAAACCAGAATATGCAAGCAGAGGTGTCTGCATCGGTGCTGGGTGTCATGGTAACTGCATAGCAAGGAATAGTTTCCCTTTGGCAGCCCAGAGAAGAAAAGCTGTTGCTTATTTTCCTCATATCAGCATTATCAAGCTGCATTATGTAGGATTTGCTGGTGGACATGTTTGTGCATCTTCTAGCTTTGCACTTTATGCTGGTGGGAAGTGCCCTATGTTACCGTCATCCTCAAAGACATGGGAGAGGCTGGGAAGCAGAAGTAGACGGAGAGTGGGACCAGATGCTGAAAGACACAGAGGCTACTGAAATCAGAGGCTACTGTGTTAGAGGCACACTGGCCTTGTCTGTGGAAGATCAATATTTCTCCTAGAAAGGGCTGAGAGACACCTCTGCGTCCTCCAGCAAAGGATATTCACTGTTTTGGGGTCTGGACTACACAGCATCTAAAACACCTTACAGTAGCGGCAAAGAGCATTCAATCTGTCTGGTACAGAGTAGGAAAGAGGAAACTCTGAACTCAAGTGTCATTTGCAGGAGAGACACACCTGTTATCACATCAACCATGCACATCTTGACCACTCACATTTTGTTCTCAGCCCTAATTAAAGAGGTTTTGGATCTCCCTGGCACCAAGTGGTGAGGCAGTCAGCACATCAACCCAAAATGAAAAAAATAACGTATCATCCCTCCATCCTCCCCCAGTATCCCCCTAGCCTTGGGTCTTTTCCCTTCAAGAGGCTGTTGCAAAATTTAACTGAACTGACATCCCAATCCCAGGCAGAACACGGACCCCTCACACCTGCTCCAGGTCATAAGAGAGAGAAACCCCTTTGACTTGGAGGTGTTTGCCTTGGCCACAGTCTTTGGATACTGGGACAGGAAAGGGTTCTGCAACTGTGAACAAAGCCTCAAGGACTGTGGCAAACAGATCACAAAGCAGGACTAGCTCTGAGCAGCTGGAATGAAGCCTGCACAATCCCTTTTACTGCATCATCTTCACAGCCAAGAAATGCAAAGGTGGTAAAAGCAGACAGTTGAGGAATGCCCATAGAAAATAGCACAGAGTATGCAGGAGTCTCGCCTGGAACAACACATTCATCTTTCCCCTGGAGCCTTTCTCTAATTCTCTGTAATAAAGATATACTACTGACATTGCTAAGATAGAAAAAGGTAGGAAATCAATGCCTTATTTTGTTCTTACCAGTTGGGCAAATGATAATTCCCACTGCACAATGGGATTAGGCTCAAACAAGAGTAGCATCATAACTCTATACTCATAAATCTGTGACCAAAATGAGACTGATAGAGCAAGAATGTCTTTCTAAGCCAGGCTACAAAACCAGTCAATGGCATAAGATCAGAGACACTTTTATTGTTCACCCAGTAAAACAATCAAGTAGAAGATTATTAGATGGGGAAACAGAAGCTTTGCTGGGCCAGATACCAGGAAATCCCTGAAATGTGTCCAGCATACCTGTCAGTGGAGCAGAACTGAGCAATAAGCTTCTTTGGATTCTCTTCAGTGGATAATGTATTCACCAAAAAATGCAGTTTAGAGTTAACTAAAACCAGTCATCAGATTAAGAAAAAAAGGCAAGGGTAAAATGACCATTAACATTAGAACATTTTCTTTCAGCATTTTCAAAACAGAAGGTTTCACATTTTTGCTCCAAAGCAAATTGTTATAGCCCAAGTCATAACGTTTTTCAAAAAGTGCAAAAGCAATTCTACAAATGAATATTTCATTTTGGTTTGATTTTTTTTTTTTTAATGATTTGTTTTTTCCTTTTTAATTCCACTGAGAAAATTAAAAAAAAAAAAAAAAAAAAAGTCTCAGGACACCCTTACAACTCTTCTCCCCAGATTTTTCAATTCAGCCTGCAAACTGAAAAACCATTGTGGGCACAGCCTACTTGGGAGTTTATTGTCCCTCTTTCTATTTGAATCAGTCCTAAACTGAAGAAAATGAAAGTTCATTTCACCAGGTAATACCGACCAGAATCAAGGTACTTTAGCAGATGTAAAAATACTGAAAATGGGAGAAGTTGTGACTTAACAATGAGCTGAGCATGACCCAGGAGATAAGAGATCTTCTGGCTCCAAAAAATACTGCCATCTACAAGCTTCATGCTGTGGCATCCCACTCATATATATATATAAGGCAATTTATAAACTGTGGGTCCAATCCTGCATTTTCAGAAAGAACCTAACTGAGATGTGCTGACACCACGTATTTGCGAGCAATGCAAGACACAGGTAACCCATCCTAACTGCTCTAAGCCAGGGGGTTTGGGGGTTGGGATTTTTGGGTTGGGGGAAGCAAATGGAGACACACAATATCCTCCCCACTAGCAATATTTGAGCATCACTCACATGACCTGAAAACAACATCCCTTTCTTGCAGAGTGTTACCACTTCTGCAGGGACAATACAGTACTGGATAGTTGCTTTGCAAGCTCGATAAAATGAAAAGGCCTTATGAAGATCTTTGTTGGGACAGTCATCTGGTTCAAACACAGCAGAAGACAATTGTCAACAACAGCAAAAAAACCCACAATAAATTAGGTATCAGCACAGCTTTCTAAATGCTCTAGAACAATTGCTTGCAAGACAAAAAAATCACAGCTCTTGTACTTAGAATATTGTCTTTTTAAAATAATAATAAAAAAAAACAATAATCCACAGGTTTCGCATAAAAATAAACATTTTAAGCTGACAGCATTATGTTAATTAGATCAACCTGCTTTTTAATATATATATTTCTATGTATAATTAAATGTATATTTTTTCTATGAATATTCTTTAAAGGAGAAATGGGAGTCACAAATGCATAAAAATAGATATTTTGGAAAAAAAAAGAGTAATAATAAACACAACCCCATGAAAAAGAAAGAAAAAAAAAAAATCAAAGCAGACAGTGTTCTAAAGCAACGGCTCACCATACTATAACTTGTGGAGTCCAGTCCTTCTGTATTGGGAGCAGTTATTCCTAAATACTATTTGGTTTTGTAAGAGTGATATAAAACATCAATTCCTGCATGTTTATTTAAAAAAAAAAAAAAAAAAAAAAAAAAGGATTTGGGTACATAGGACAGATTTTGATGCTTGTTGCATCACTGTAAATAACTAGCACAGATCATCTCCCACACTGAAAACAGGAGGAACTCCAGTAATTCTTGCATTTATAAGAATATATTTTCTAATCAAAATTAGATCTGTCCCTCTGAACTAAAAGATTAAAAAAAAAAAAAAAAAAAATCCACATTTGCCCTACAGTGTTTTTCTGTTGTCCTACAAATAATCAGACTGGAAAAAGTGGGATTTTCAGTAGTGTATGTCAGCATTCCATGCATCTTTGACAAAAGCCAGCTCCTAACAATTAAGAAGATTATTTCAGAGAGTGATCCTGTCCCTTTACACCAGGAGGGAACCTCACTGCTAAAAATCCCTTGAAGGCAAAAAAATCTCGGTGAGATGGGAGGGGAAAGCCATAAAAAAATTGCAGTAGCCTGACCTGCTTGCCAGTTGCATCAGTATTCAAGTAAAAGTTTAAAGTACCTTTCTGGAACTTTAGAGTCTTGGAGGGTCAGACCAGCTTATTTTATCAAGTGTAATATGCACTTTGAGACTGCCTTGTCACCTGCTTGTTTAAACTAAAAAAAAAAAACCTCAAAACCAAACAGGAGCAAAGGGAAGGTATAGGAGAGGTCTCAGCATCAGAATTAGACTGCAGAGTGTCTTCTTGACACTGACACTTTGATATTCTTGCTTTCCTTTCTAATGCATTTAAATATCACAAAGTCATGCAGCCATTTCAAATGAGTATTTCAAGAGTCCAGTTTTCATAGAGGTTAACTTGATCACCAGCACAGCACTGGATAAAGCTGATCTAACAATATTTCAGTTACAGAAGTCTTCAAAGGAAAATAAGAAATACAATTCCACAAATAACAATGCCAATTAAAAACACAGAAAGCAAATTGTTTTTTTACTCAGTGTTTTTTTAGACATTCTTTCAGAAAAAAAATTTCTTCCCTTACAACTTTCTTCAGAAGCAAATTTTCTAACATATCAGATTTTAGAGCTATCTTCCATCTACATGACTCTAAGCTTTTCTGAAACCACCTACAGGGTTTTGGGGGCAGAGGATTCTTTCTCCTGCAGAGCCATTCAAATGGCATCTGATTGTTTTGTCTTGTTTCTCCTCTTGAATTTGTCCACTCCCCTTAGCATTTCACAGGCCAATACTACTGCAAGAATTTAGGTGTCTGCATTCAAAAGAACTTTGGACTGAGTGCAGCTTCACATATTTCATCTTTTCTATGCCCTTTCCATGTAGTTTCTTCTATCTTTACACGTACAAAATCACAGTTTGTGTAACATTGTTTTAAAGGAAGAAAATAAAATACACACACACACATACATTGTATTGGTGAACACTATACGCTAAATATTTTTTTCAATAGCATAACAGAAAGTTTGGCCTACTGTAGGTTGAACATGTAGGGAAGGCTGATTTTTTACGGTTGCCATGCAAGCCACCTTCAAGACAAAACAGATTAACCCACCCAAAAGCAAATGCAGCTTCTACTCTCAAGCTGTTAGACAAATACTGCCTTTCCAGGGATCAGACTGACATCTCACCGATTCTGTCAATGCAGTATTTAGGGAACCACACTGACTTGCTTCTGCATCAGTCCTCTGAATCCAAATACTGTTAAAACCAAAGGGGGGAAGAGGGTATTTGACTTGCCTTATTATTGTTAATATGTATATATTTTGATAACACTTCAAATTTCAATTTATTTCTGAAACCTTGCCCTTTGAGAAGAACACACCCTTTAAGTTGATTTTTTTTCCTAGGCTTCTGTTCCTTTAAAATTCTCTCTTCTTTTCCTTTCGCTGTTCTTTTCCAATTATCTATCAGAAAACTTGCTTTCTTCCAGCAGAAACGCAGCTGGTGGGCTGGGGCTTTCACTGCACCCGCTCTGTGAAATTCTCTGGGAAAACCCCTCGGCATTGGTCAAGTTCCTTATGCTGAATCCAGTCAGACTCCTTCACACCCATCAGCCATCCTTCGTCCTGGAGGGGAAAACAGAGATCAGATGCTGAGGGATAGATGTGAGTGGAGATTTTTCTTACAGACTGCAGGCCACAGAGGTGTCAAGGCATTATCAAAGCCATGCTTGTATTTGGCTTGGAGACAATCCAGGAAGAGGATGGGAGAGAAAGAAAAATGCTTTCATTTCCTTTTAAACAGGGAGAAGGCTACATCTCACTGTAGTCATTACTAAATCTCTTATGTGAACCTGAGCATCTAGAGGCAGTGAAATTGTAAACAATTAGCAAGTGTAATAGAAACATATAATAATTTACATCCACTGAAGCAGGAGAAATTCTGCCAAAGAAAGTCTATAGAGCTACAGGATGGGAATTACGTATCTCACCTTTCAATCTAAACAAGAGTGGTCTAGCATTCTCCGTAGCCATAAAAGAGATGAGCACCTCCACGGAGCAATTCATCCCACTCATCTTTGGCACAGGTCTTTGGAAAGAATGAATCATTCCCTGGAGGTGCTCATCCCCTGCTCCAGCCAGGCCACCTGGATGATTAGCAATTTAGAGGTGGTATAGGCAAAATAAGTCTTCTTTGCTATGCTGAAATTCTGGATCTCTGAGAATTGGGAGCTGAGGAGCTCAACCCACCTTCCCAACACCCAGCAGTCTGTTGGGCTCGATGGAAGGTGAGGTTGGCAAAACTCCCAAAATTGTGCTACACATGATGTGAGACCCAAGGTGTCTCACAAGGGTTCTCCCTAGCCACCAAACCTATGCATCTATAAACAGGGATGAATTTTCACTGAGGCAAATGAAGTCCTGCTTGGTAAAACTAGAACCTGCTTAGGAGGAGAACCAGACTTCCCAGCCTCTGCCTGCAGCATGTCTAGCATCAAGATTTCTGCTCTATCCAAAGCACATGAGGGAGATGAGGTATTCAAGGTGGGAAGGCTGCACTGCTTGCAGCTTAGGTGTGCAACCATCCTACTCTCTGCATGCCTTGGAGCTGCCACCATGGAAGCACCCCTTCAGCATGCAAATATACCCACTGATAGGAGTCATTTGCAGTGGGGCAGCCTATGAGTTAAAACTGCAGCATGAGGCAAGAGAGATGCACGGGGGACTGCTGCCTCCAAACTCAGCCTGCTCTGCATCCACTCCTCTGGGCAAAGCATGCACCAGGCTCATTTAGAAATATGTTTCCACATTCATCTAACATAACTTGCCAGGGCAGAGGTGCTCAGGAAACCAGATGCTCTAAGCTGTGGTGAAGTAGGGCATGCATGTGTGTGGTTCACACACTTGTTCTGACACTTCTGCTTTCCTGGAATTGGCAGGAGTTACTTGGGTATTTACCTAAGACCAAGTAATGTCTCCCTTGAAATGTGTTCTTTGAAAACACACCTGCACAGTGCAGGAGTGATGCAGCCCTCACCAGGGGTGATCCATGGGGTATATACTGCTTTCTGCTGACATTTTGCAGCTTCTGTCCTCTTGTCCTGTTTTCTGCACGTTTCATGTGGCAGCAGCTCAGTCCAGCCATTGTATCTGAGTTTCCTGCTCCTTGCAGTCTGTACTGGATGCCTGCAGGCTCAGTTAGACCTTGCTGCTGCCTTAGATTTGAGCATTCAGGGGATGTCATGGGAATGACATGAGATGGGAGCCCATCTGCAGCAGCCAGCTGCAGGGGCTGTGGAAGGACTGACATGCCATAAATCAGGAAGACGAACGACTAGGCAAAAGATTCTGGGCCCAATCGTCTGGAAGGCAGCTTCCAGCTCACAGCATTGCAAGCACAAAAGCTCATCCATTTGCACATAGCATCTGTGCCATTACCACATGCATCACTCCCACTGCATCCTGCTACAAAGGGCCTCCTCAGCTATAAGGATTAGACAAGAGGACTCAGATTGACCCTTGCCAATTTTGAACCATGTCACCTGAAGTGCCAGCTCAGAAGTGTTGCTGCCCTCAACCCTTTCTTCTGTCAAGAGAGATGAATCCAGGCCTGGCTGATGTACCCACAAACTGACACCTAAACTGCAAGATGGGGACATGGGTCACAGTTTATTATCCTAAGCTTCCTCCACTCACGTGCACAGTTCATGCACATGTTAACAGCCAAGATTTTCTGGCTGGGTATGGTCGAGGTTAGGAAAATGAGCTGTAGCACAGGATACACTGTAGGAGGGTTAGAGGGCTTCAGTGCAGCTACAGCATCATGTTAGCAACACTCAGAGCTCACCCTCTGCAGATTGGAGAGTCTCGAGTTCATGGCTGTTGCACCCACATCCAGCTAGAGTGCAAACATAGGGCATTGAAAAACTCTGCTCCACAAATGCCATCTCATACCATAGAAACTAGGGAAACTGCCACTCATTTCCCATCCAGAAAGATTTCTGAGAAAGAAATGCTCACAAATGCTTGTGCAAGGCAGTCCCACTCAGTAAAGAGTCTTGTCTCCAGAAGGAATCACTGCCTCTTCCCCATACAACCCTTCCCACCCATAGCACCTAGCTCTGCAGGAGCTGCCAGGACATTATAGCTCCCATTTCACAAGCAGCAATAAGATCTGCCTCCATAACACACAAAGCCAACAGCTGAGCCACAGAGAGGATCCACATCTTCTGTGTCCAGTGAACTACATCCCCTTCACTTTACCCCTTGTGAAATCCAGATCTTGTCTGGGCTTGGCCAAACCCGCAAATCTAGCAGCTACTGAATCAATTTGGAGAACACCCTTCCTTTTCCAAACAAAGACCTGGAGATGTAGCATGAATTTTATAAAATCACCACCTCCCTCAGCCAAAGTAGTAAAACTGCTGCAGACTTTATCAGCTGGAAGCCCTCAAACACAGCAAGTGAGGAGGATTTACTCAATGCTTCTAGAAATAGATCAGATTAAGGAAAAATACTGCCAATTAAATTCATGTTGGACATGGACAGTAAGATTCTTCTCTGGGGCTGAGCAATCTACTCCAGCCTCTAGCTGTGCTGCCATCTCCTGACCAAAAGTTGTCTTTTGGAAACAGCCATTGCTACGTTTAAGTGCAAGACATCACCCACAGCAAGCTGCTTTCTCAGAGCTCCAGCACTTCTGGAAAGGGGAGAAAACATCATCAGCTGCAGGTTACTCCTGTCAGTGCCACAGTCTGCACTGCAGTGGTCACAACTAACGTGCCTCAAGTTTAGTAGCACTGAAGAAGCAAAGTATGGGCTCTGTTAGCCTCCTGATCAAGGAAATCATTGTATTGGCTCAAATGCCCTGATAGGGACAGGAAGCCATGGCTATTTCACATGCTTTATGCAGGATAATGTCTCTATTTTCCAATCACAAGCAGAGTCCTCCTCTCTGTTGCAGGAAGCCAATCTCAAGCCCAAGGACAACCAGCTGTGCAGCTAGCTCCCAGCCACAAACCGATGGCTCTGCATCCAGCCAGCTGACTGTTAGTGGAGGAAGAAGCAGCTCTGGAAATCCCCTTGGTTCTTTCCAGCCCAGGTTCACACCCTGTCTTCCCCACTTACCTGCTCCTCAGGGTTCTCAAATGGAATCACAAGCACCACGTCCCCAGCCTTCAGCTGCAGCTCATCGCTGTCAGTGGCCGTGTAATCATGCATGGCCTGGACCTAAGGGGGGAGAGGAGAGCAGAGTTTGGGTGAGGCCAGCCTTTTCTCACCCAGCTCTGTAACGGGTGACAAGGCTTTCCACTTCATTGGTTCACTGGATGATTCAGGCTGTAAGGCACCTTTGGAGGACAGCTGATGCAACATGCTGCTCAAGGCAGGGCAAGCTTGGATCACAAATGCCACATCTACAGAATAACCACTTCCCTTAATCTAATGGCTATAGGCTTTTCATACGGCCTGGCATGCAGCTTGCCTTTGCCACAAGGGCAACCTGTGCATTTCATTCAACTTGTTACTCATCTACCTGTCCTTCCTTAGGGGGGTTAAATTTCCATGGTATGGGCCTAAAAACCTCACAGGGTAGAAAGCATGAATCCATCTGAATGGTGCCCTGTATTCTTTTTGCAGCTGGACCTCAAGAGTATTAGAGATTATAGCCTCCCATCTCTGTCACAGCCGGCAGGGAGAGGATACGGGAAGAATATCAGTTTGGATCTTAGAATGATTGTATCCTGCCATGTTTTCTCTTTGGTATTCAGCCTAATTCCTATCCACATCAATGTTACAGCTTTTCTAGTTCAAACCACAGTTCTCCACTTCAAGCACTACAGTCTATAATGCTGCCTGTAACCAGTCTAAATGTGATGTGCCTCCTATTGTTCTTCAGGGTTTTGTCATTCTTCTGCTTTTGGTAGAACTCCCAGGGAAAAAAACAAACAAACAAACAACAAAAAAAAAAATGGACATGACTAAAGCAGGAGAAAAGCATTCCTTATAGCAGGACACTCATATTTCTTACTTTCAGGGCATGATACATCTGTGCTGTCTTGCTACCATATCATACCCAGAATCACTCCTTCCTCCACACCTTTGAAACAACCTGTGAGTGATCTTTGGCATACTCAGGATACGCACCTGTCCAATCCTATGCTTTTCCCTATTCACCCTGGCCTTTTAATTTCCCCAAGCACAAAGTCCTCTGTCCCTACTGGTATTTGAAATTCTTCTTCATTTGCCACTTGCATCAAAGTTTAACCTTTTCAGTTTGGAGCACAACTTATCTATTATGCAGAGTCTGTGACTGACACTACCACACCACCAGAGATAGAAATAACTGCAGCAGAGAGAAGGAGGGGGTTTGCTGTACAACACAGCAAGACATTGAGACACCAATGGTCTCATATAGTTCTTTGAAGCATCTGGAGCTACATGAAGGTGGACTGCTGGAGAGGAAGGTGTATCTCTTCTTCAACTTCCTTTCTCCCTTTCAATGTGGCATAGCCCATGGCCATGCTAAGCAAAAGTAATTAATTCATTACAGGAAAAAAAAATCACAAGGAATTTGGTGCCCCACCACCATAAACTCACCTTGAACAGAAATCCCGGGGGCATGTCAGCTCTTTCAGATGAAGTGCCTCCTTCCACAGTGCCATTGACGGTAGCAGGGAAGGTTTCCACGACGACAGCAGGCAGAGAACTCTGGGGGGCAGCAGCAGCCAGGGAAGGAAAAAAAGCCATTGAGAAAAGACAATCCAAAATTGCTGCTCCAAGTCCACCCTGGAGGATCCACATCCCCTACCCATGGCTTCAACGGGTTTTCCCAGCAGTCCAGTCAGTGACAAAAACACTGCAAAGGACAGCTGAGGTAGGAGAGATGACTCTATCGTCCTTTGCTTAAAGCTGCAGAAGGGCAGAGAGGATTTAGAGTTTTTCTGGAATAATAATGCCCAACATTTCCCATTCACTGTGCTTACAACACAGCAGCTTCTTGTAGTGCCCTCATGGAACAGACAACTCAAATGGAACAGCCCATAGGAACCAAGCAGCCATGAGATGGGACCTACTTCAGTCCCCTAAAAAGGAGGCAGTGTTTGGAAAAAAAAGAGGAACCCTGGATTTTCAGGGGACACCAGCAGAGCCCAGAGAGCAGGGCAGGTAAAGTAAATGGTAAACAAGGAGGAATACAGAAGACAATGCAGGCTTAGCGCAGCATGGGTTTTGGGCTGGCTTCACAACATGGATGAAGGGACAGTCCTTTTTGTGGATCCTACAGTAGAGCTTCTCCCTAAGCATTACACAGATAAAATGCAATACCTAAGCCTGCCCTCTGAATAACAGCACTGTAACTGCTGGGGTGGGATGGATGTGTTTTTCCAAGCAGCCACACATCTCTTTTTCCAGCCCAGTCTCTCACATCTGCTGTACAACAAAGGGGTGTGATAGAGAAAATGGACTACTGTCCCTCGAGGTGCTCACCGATCCTGAATCAGCGTCATTTTTAGATGCTTCCGCTCCAGCTGCTGCTTCTGATCCAGCTGCTTCAGCTCCTGCACGGGCTGCTTCTGCAGGCTGCAACACAAAAGTCATCCAGGTGGAGAGTTACACTAGTTACAGCTACGTGTAATGCAGAACAGTGCAGCTCAGTCTGTCCAAGCGCTCTATGCTGTTGACTGCTGCCATCTGCTGATAAATAGGTGAGAAACCTCAAGGTCTTGCTTCGGTCTGTCTCGTTCCCTGCAACTCAGTGAAATCGCAGTAAAGCCTGCATTCCCTCACTCCAGCCACGCAGCAGGCAATACTCCAGAGGAAATCAATGAAAGGCCAAAAATCCTGTGCGTGTCTCTTCACAGTCTAAATTGCCACCTACTTTGCACATGCACAGTATCTATTATTACATATGTATTGCCTATTTCTATGTGAACACAAGTCTGCTTGCATGACAAGGGACAGGGATCTCTCAGTAGGCTACTTCCAAGGATCAACAGTCAAGGAATATTTAAGCCTTTGCATACTCCCAGAAACAGAAAAGCATGGTAATAATGTGTCCAGATATGGAACTTAGTTTGGACCCAGCACCTACATGATATTAACACTGAACCAAACTGAACTGACAACTGTGATAACTTTCACCCAATTCAATTTTGGCCCAAAGAGTCATGCATTTGGATTCTGTATTCTAGGAAGCCTGGGGACAGGGGATTCTGTGCACAACAGAAGACCAACCAAACACCTCTGATACACTTTCAGCAGTTCAAGTTTTTATTCTCCCCTTGCCCAAAGTCTGTGTAACTCTGCCTTAACACAAAATTAACGATTCATTTGCACCCTCCCAGAAACTGTAGCAATGCAGGAAGCGAGTTCAATGTGGTAGCATCAATGCTGCAGATTAGGCCCCTGGAAGACTGGCCAGACAACACCTGGGAAGACTCATGACAAGAATCTCAGGGGTCTAATTTGCAGCCCAAGTGTCTCCATAGCCAGCCTGTATCCATTTGATCTTTATACCAGATGGCACATGTGACTTTTCAGAATCTAACCAGATACCCACTTTATACTTGCACAGTAGAGATCACTAAACAGAGATTTCCCATTTTTAATGCATGTGAATAAACCAGCATTAGTATGCCTACATGCCTCATACATTTGGTAGACACATGTACCCCTGAATACAACCACGTTCAAGACAAGGCACTGGCCAGATTCCTTAATGTTGCAATCCTCATAGTCCCAATCCTACAAAAGCCCAGTGTAAAGCAACCACCATGGTAACCCTTATCTCTACACCCATATGGCTACTAGCCATGCACTGGCACAACAATCCGAGCAGTTCTCTAATAACAGCAGAAATAATGAAGTAACTCCCTGATTTAAGAAAAAAAAAAGCTATTACTTTACCTTCAGCTGCTCCAATTGTGCCATTTAAGACAAACTTTCCTCTCCTATCACATCCTTCCTCATGTCTCCCCATCACCATGTCCACAGGCCTATGTTGCCAGAGGATATTATAAACAGCAGAGCTGTTCCCATCCTGCAGAGGATTTCCACAGCCTCTTTGGTAGCACTAAGGTAAATGTACGCATATGAAATGCTACAAAGGCTTCTTGTGTTTAATTAGATTCACTCCCAGATTTCTTTTCATTGGGATTCAGTGAAACTGGAACTGGGATGGATGCATGTGGACAAGTGAAAAGGAGCTTAACATGAACTCATTTTTTGAAAACAGCTAATTTGCAAAAACAGTATTTAATAACCAGAAAAATTGAATCTAAATTAATACCCTGGATTTCAACAAAGGGCATTTTCATGTCAGCTACTTATTTTTCTATTTTATGTGCCTGTGGGCATCCCAAGACCTATAAAAGCATTTACAGTCATGGAAAAATACTATAGGAAAAAGAAGATTTGTTCACTGCTCTTGCCAGGTTTGAAAGCTTTGTTTATTCCAACAGCAGCATCATACACACCAAATACAAGTCTCCCAGTCTGTAGAGCTAAACACGTTCTGCTGTATCCAAATTTCTATGCAGTTGTTAACCTCATGGCATATGGGACTATGTAACCTTGCAGCACGCCTCCTTCCATCAACAGCTGAGAACATCAGAACAAACACACTTCAGAAGACTTGAAGAGGAGGATTCCGCAGATATAGGGAGCTCTGCTCTTTAACCATGTCATATGCCAAGGTAAGAACTGGCATGGTGAGAACATCTTGACTAGTAGCATTTCCCAGCTGATTAAAGTGTCCTTTAGGTTATATCAGTTTTGGGCCATTTCTTCAATCCTAGAAACACTTTTTACACCCCAGACTGTTAGCACAGCTCAATCAGATACAGTCATACCTCAACCCTGCCCATCCACTTGAACGGCATATTTCCTTGAAAAAACACGGACTTGTTTTCTAAGACAGACTGACAATGCACATACAGAGGAATGCCAGATGTTAAACACTGATGGCTGATAAAACACACAAGGGAAGCATCTTTCTCGGTGTGACCCAAGTTCATGTGAAAGAGAGTACTGGCCAACAGTGAGTCCTTGGGCCAGGGTCTCAGCAAGGGTTAGTCACGTCCTCCCAAGTACTGACTCTAGGTGGTGATCTGGCCCTTGAAAACTGAAAGGTTGGCAGGACTAGATTCCCCAGCACAAGCCAAGGACCTGTGCTTACATCTACACCATGGGATATAGCCAGCTCAAATCACAGGCATGAGTGCCTAGACCAAGCATTCTCTGTCCATGCTGCTGGCTGTTTGTCCAGAGGGGCTCAAAAGCAGTTGTGCTTGAAATATCTCCCAATGGGCTAATCTGCAGCAATCTGAGACCTTCCCAGGGCCAATACATCTAGAGGGCATCAAGGAGGGTCTGGCTTTTGTTCAGATCCAGAGCATGTGTAGGGTCTCCTTTGTCAGCAAGCTCCAAAGCTGAGGTTGTGGCAGATGCCAGATAAATGTTGAGCCTGCACTTAACTTTCAGTGTAAACACAGGCTGAGCTATTTCACATCAGCATCAGCCTTTCTGGCAACGATGATCAATGAACAAACACCACAAATAATTCCAAATGTGTACGTATACCCAATGGTACAGGCAGTAAGGACGAAGGGCAGCCGAGGCATTTATGCATTGCACATAAGACCAACAGGTTGTACAAAGTTTAGCAAATATCAAGGAGCAGAGGGTACGGATGATGCCACAGTGAGATTAAGTTTGAGAATGTCACAGCATCACGCCAAAGGAAAGATGAGTGAGTTAGCAGGGAAAGGCAATGTGCGTTGATGGAGACATAAGTTTCAGAGTGCCAGACCTGACTTGCAAACATCTGGCTGCCCCTGGGGCTTCACAGAAGGTGCAAAAGTGGGTTCAGCAGCACATGGAGCAACTTTGGTTTGGGGTGTGCAGAAAGGAAAAGGAGACAGGTATGCGTACAGAGATGGCCTGGCACATGCACAGTACACAATGAGAGATGAAAGCCATATGAAGTTCTTACCTCCCATAAATCCCAAGGTAAAGACTAAGCATGTCAAAGAGCAACAAAAATAAAACATGATTATACGTGATTATTTCAGTGAGCACAAACATTACAGATGTTGATCAGACTAAAGCAGACATACACATTCACAGCGCCTACCTCTGCATGTTTTAAAAATATTTTTTTAGTACCTGATTTTTATACACCCTTCCCTACTACATATGCAAATTTAAGTACAAAGACATTTGAGTAAGGGGTTTTTCTACCTCTGGTATGAAGGGAGACAGCCAAGCCACATTCAGTTATCAGTGGCAGACCACATCGCCAGAAAAAAAAACACTCATGGGTTTGTGGTCCATCAGGGTTAAGTATGTTCCCATATACCCATACCCAGTAGAGTTAATATGATTTCAGAACAAGACTTCAGCTGTTGTCTTTTGATCCGTAGTGAAACATCTTAACCTCTTTACCATAGTGCCCACCCTATAGGAAATAAATCTTACTGCTCTGAAAACTAGGAGGTTTTCACTAGGTTTTGTACTGTGGTTACCATTAGAAAGTATTGATTTCAGACTCTTTTTTTTTAATGACCTCTGAAGCTAATAATAAATATATTAGAACACTAAATATGTTATTGCTGAACAGTTTTGGGAAATCCGCTCAGTGTAGTATTTATTGCTTGCTTGAAAGGTAACAAACAAATCCATTTTCAGTCAAATTTATACTTGTATCCTATGCCAGGATACCCATTTATCCAAGTTATAACTAATGATTCAGGAAAAAAAAAATGCCTGTAAATAAATTAAAAAGCTTAGCCTGGCATGCAGCTTGTTCTATCAGACAAGATATGAAATGCCAATCTGCTCACTTAAAGTTCCAGAAAGTGGTAGCTTGTCATACTGGTGTGTATCAAACTATGACAATAACTAGTATCATGCAGATACATTATTTTAATTTAGAAGAATCAAATGCCTAATGTTTGATCTCTCTAGTAAGAGAGGTCTTATGGCTACAAAATCTGTGTTATACAGGCCTACCTGACCTGATGATACTGGAGAAATACTGTAAACATCCCAATTAGGTTTATTACAAATTTTAATGGCAACCACACACAAAAAATAACCATTTCATATATATGACTTGGAACGTCTCGGAGGACAGCAGCCAAATTCAGGATGAGCTTCAAAGCCTCCAGCCATTTAGACATAAAGTGAAGTGCAGTCCACCTGCCTCTAACAGTGGACAGGACCAAGTAGAGGCTAGACCAGAATTAGCAATCTTCTTTTTTGATTCTGCACTGGACAGCACTGTGCTCAGGGGGGAAGCTACTTCTTAAATATGAACAGAGGCTATGTTATACCCAGAAAAAAAGGGCTTCACATCACTTGAATATCCATCTACAGCTTTATTCACCTTAACTAACTGCAGATCAGAATGTCTGTTTATTAAAAATCCCTTTGAGAGCAATTTATACCAGTAGCACAGAACTGAGTCTGAATTCCCATCCACAGAGTAACAGTTTAAATCCATATAGCACACAGACGATGCTAATCTAGGGAGGGACATACATTAAGTTGAACAAGTTGTCAATCAGTAGATCATCAGAGCAAAGCACAAGCATCCCACAAACACTTAGTGCCAGACTGTGGCCAGGCTAATAGCCACCTGATTCTCACTGGACTTACACATCCAGCAGAGAAGATTAAGGTGCCCATCTGCAAGGCACAGGTCTGGGCACCCAGCCCAGCCACCCATAACTCAGGTCCACATTATCATTCACGTGGGTGCAGGTCACACCACATGTGGCAACAAGTCAGTTATGAAGGAAGAAGAAACGGTGATATGAACCAACCTGGGAGGCGGGTGTGGGGGTCTTGCCCACAGTGGCATCTGGTTTAATGGGATCAAAATCCAGATCCAACAGGCTGGCTCCCTCCTGGAAGGGCCCAGGGGCATCAAACTTGGCAGCAGTGAGGAAGAAAAGCAGTACGAGCATTAGACACACACACATGCACACAGTAGAGGCAGGATATGTGATATCCAGGAGCTAAGGCTGCAAGCACAGAAGACATGGTGGCAATGCAAACACCTGACGTGACTCCTGACTCCTTGGCACCTATAATCATGGACAGTTCGTATGGGTGCTGTTGTAAACCAAACCTGAGCCTTTTCCCCAGGACTCATTCATCTTCCCAGCTGGCCAAATGGTGTAAGATCCTGACCTGCTGTGGTCAAAAGGATCACTGCCACGAGTGACTCAGAAGGGCTGCTCTTCTATTTATATCTATTCCCCATAGCTCATCCAGCTGCCTTTGTACTCAGACTCCCTCGAGCCGCATACAGAAGAGCTGCCATCCATACAACTTATCTCAGGAACACAGATCCAGGCAGAAAACCACTCAAACTGCTGGAAGACAAGTCTGAGAGACCTCAGAGCTAACTCCCAAAGCTCCTAACCCCCTCTGCCTTCTGAGACAGAAACACCGAATATGGCAGCTCACCCTACCTAAGGGATTTAAATCACTCCCCAGTCGAAAAAAGTTGTTTTGAATGGTTTCCATTTCTGAACATCTCAGAAACATGCACACACACAAAACTTCTGAAAAAGCATAAAATTGAAAAGCTTTACTACTCTCTTCAAAATCAGCAGAATAACTCCCTTTGACTGATTACCGCTCTAGCTAAAGACAATGATGGCACGTTTGCTGATTACCATTAATAAAACATTTGCTACAAAGGACATGAGTTATTAGTATTCAAAACTGAGCTATCATTTTTGGTTTTTAGATCTAACTTAACCACTACAAGACACTCCCTTCTACTCAACTTCAGAGAAAGCTGCTCCCTCCAGGAAGACTTGACCCTGTTTCCACTGACCTCCCAGGTCACTGGCCCTACTGCTTCAGCTACTTTTCCAATGCACACAAGGTGTGGCAGGATGCTCTCCACAATTATATCATAGCCCCACAATGGAAAAAACTATTTGATGTAGCAAGAGACACCGTTTAAGAGAAAATCCTCTGAATACAAACCACACCACCATCATTTTCATCTCCTCTAGTTTTGTCTTACTCCAATTCTCTTATAGATTTTTCTCTCCCTTATGAACATCTCTTTTTGAGATCCAGAAGGATGAGGACAAGGAACCAAGCTCTCCTATCTCACAATAATTAGCCCTGGTCAGTAAACAAAAACCAGCTAGCATTCTAGTACACTTCTCCAGCACATCTGGGTCACCCATCAGAGAGGCTCCAACCCTAATCTTTAGTTTTGTTTGGTAGTGAGAGATCAAAGGCTCCAGTCATGGAATAATCTTACCTGCCATTCAAGACTTACATGCAAGGGCTAGCATCCCTTACCCTTACCCATATCTCCCACAAGGCAGCTTATTGGAGCTAAGACACCTGAACAGAATGGCCCTGGGCAACACACTGAATGCTAGTAGCTGTTGAGTGCTTCAGTGAAGATTGTTCTGGCAACCAGTGTCCTCTCTAAGAACCCCCATCTGATTGCAAGTCACAGCAGATCCCATCCTGGGGCAGAGCACTGATCAGGTGCAGCAGTATGTCTGACTAAGGGCTGATGTTCACATGGAAATATATGATACAAACCACGGAGCAGACGGAGCTGTCCATTAGGATACAGGAGAAAGAAGCATAGAAAATAATTGAGAGTTGCTCAGCTGCCTGTGGTCCCCACCTTCCAACACTGCTGTCCTATCATCTCTCTGCTCTGCAAGCTTTATCTGTTGCAATGCAAAATCTGACATGAGCTTCCTCCCTTCCCCACTCCATCTCTGCTCCTCAGCAGCTGGGTGGAAGGTGGGAAACCAGAGGCAATGAAGCAGCATGATGCAAGGAAAAGTTATGGAATAAGCCACAAACGAGTACTGATAGAGACATTACTTGTGCTTTAACAAATTTACTTGTGCTTTAACAAGTATTTAGGAAAAAAATATTTAAATATATATACATATATATATATAAAAAAGAAGTAGATGCATGTATCTCATGATACAGCCAGAAATCTGGTCAGGCTCTTATACACATAAGGACTATGATTCTCCTAGATCCAACATGGAATCTCCCACCTGCGTATCCTCTCTTGCAGTGATGTACGTCAAAAGGCAAGTGAAGAGGAAAATATATAATTTGAAAATGTTTTTCCTTTTTTAGGGCTTCAGAAGGTTCCGCATGACAGGAAGGAAATATTCTGATGGGAACCACTGGCTGGTGAAGAGTGACAGACTGTCAGCAGTCTTGAATTCACAGGAGGCACAGTCCTGCCCATCTAAACTGGAGGCACCTATTCTCTGCAAAGACAAATTTATACAATTCCTGTTGGCCTTTCCTGTGCAGCTGTGGACTTTAGACCACAAAGCCCATGTGTGAAGGTATAGAGAGCACAAAACTGCCTTCTCCCAGAACTGCCACAGATGCCAGGGTCAGCACTTGGGGCTGTACAAGAGCAGAAAACACATTCTTCGTTCACATCCAGGATCAGTGGGGTCTGGAGAGAACACATCATAGAACATGAGGGGAGACATAATCCATGTGCATTGCTGCTGAACAAATGCAGTGATTACCTTCTGGCACCTTCACCAGTTGCATTTCTTCTGTTTCTTCTATGAATGAAAGCTCTCAAAGGGCAACGGGTATTAGTCAAAGCTGCCTTCTAGCCACCCTCCCCTCTAAGCTAGTCTCCTAGTTAACCCTTATGCCTTCTGAGGTCCAATGCTGAGTTTGCCTGCCTCCTTCACCTGACCAGGTTTCATGGCTTGACACCTCCAAAGAGAAGAAAGGTCAGAAGGAAAAATTAAGAAGCAGACAAATATAAGGCAGGGCATAGCAGCTGACCTGCGAAGGGGTTGTCACACTTATCTCAGGGACAAAATTGTCATCAAACAGACTGATGATGTTCTCCTGCTTGATCTCCTTGGAGGGGGTGACTTTTGGAGGCGGAGGCACCGGAGGCCCTTTCCTCAACTGCATGCAAGTGAGCACACGGCCACAGCACAGACGGCGACACCCAAAAAAACCAGAGACAGGAACCAGGTTAGCCACAAAAAACTGAAGGTGAGGGAAATCACAACCACAGGAACAGAGCAGGATCCAATCAACTCCATCTGAAGAGAGAGGGAGGGAGGGTGAAGGACTGAATTGAAACAAAACAAAAAAACAACCACAGGCCTTCAGAGAAGGTTTGGCATCATTAGTTACACTTCAGCCGTGGGCAAGTTTCCCTCTGCAGAGGAGAAGCGTAACACAATTAATATGCATTGACAGGACATGCATACATAATTAAAGTATGTGCAACCTTCAAAAGAACCACTAGGAAGGGGAGCAGATCATTTTCTGAGAACACAGTTCAATAGACTAGGACAGTACCACCTCCCTTTGCCATACTTACCATACCTAAGGGACTGAAAGATCATACTCAATTTGTCCTATTATAGGTAGGTGACCATGAACACAGACTCTGATCTGCCCAGTACTGCTTCCTTCATGCACCAGTTATCCATGTACCATAAGAAGGATCTGAAGGAGATCTGGGTGGCATCTTATCACTTCTCAGCTTTAGGCAAGAACAATTCAGACTCCTGAGAAGCTATGACTGCTGTGGGCCCAACTCTGCTCTCAGTTTCACCAATGACCATTGAGTTATGAAGTCATGTTTCCCAGATGGAGACCCCAGAGAACACAAAGTTTGTATCTCATAACTAACCCATCCTAATACCCACCATCACGTTAAAAGACTCAGCCTGACACTGCAACCACAACCCCCTGGGAAACTGTGGTAGACCCTCCCTAGGTCAACCCATCCACATCCTTTTCACATTTTTCTGTGCCCAAGGCTCAGTGATTATTTCTAGATCAAATCAAACTCTGAGGAGCTGCTGCTGTGTTAGAACAAAACAGCCACACATGTTCCCAGCACCACAGCCACGCTCAGCAGTGACATTTACAGCGATGTTTTACAGTTACTTGATCTTCCCATCGTACCAAGGATCCCAAGGCAGCAAGACTAAGAGACCTGACAATGGACCCCCAGTACATCAGTGTCAGGCCCAGATAGGAGACACAACAATCCCCAATTCCTAGTCCTGTGTTCACACTCCTCCAGCATGTAACTGAGCTCTAAAAGGCATTTATTCAGATTGTTAAGGATATGCCCATTTTTCTACTAGTTTAATCTACTTTACAGAGTGTAAGTATGCAAACACATATTTTCCACTGGATAGCTGGCTAGGGGAAATAATGAAAGTAGGGTGTTCACTTCCAACTTTTCACTGTTTGCAGAAGGTGGTGTGTCCATATTCTCTGAGAACAATCCCCTCCTGAAAATCACCTGCTTGTCAGTTGCAAAAAGGGACCAGAAATTTCAGGGAAGAGCTATTCTTAATTCTCCAGTTAAAAACTCTAAAGTCAGAAAGATCCCAAATCTTCTGCTATTGATTTCTCTAAAATAGAAAGTCTCCTTTCTTCCAATGTATTAGTGTCTCAGAGACCACCATTTCGAGTGTCCAGCATTACCTCAAATATCAGTCTAAAACCACATTTCAAAGGCAACAGGATTGCATATTGATGTTGGATTATAACTAGAAATTCACAAGCATTAACAACTTTGCCACCTAGAATAAAACAAATCCTCTAAAATTTTTCTTCTGATTTGGATCCCACAGAGATTGACCTGTCTAAATTCAACATAGCTGCACTGATTTCAAAAGCACAGTACAGTGTTTCAGTGGTGTAACTGAGAGCAAAAGTCTGACCTTTGAAATTTCACAGACCCCTGAAGTCCTGTGTCATCGTCAAATTACTCAGTGTGAGGAGCTGATAGCAGTTGCTTCTTCCAAAAGACAGAAAAAAGTTTTTTTCAAGAATTAAAGCACAGTAAAAGAGCTATTTTTTTTTTGGAATAAAAAACAGTTCTAAACTTAGTATTTATTTGGTCTCTCCTGTTTTGCTGTCCTTCACTCCATAGTCTTTGCTTATGGTTTGCATTAGTATTTCAGAGAGGAAGAGGCCAGAGAATTATACTTGCTTGTTGCTTTTTGCTCCGTTGTCCCCCAGAGGATGAGGCCCCTAGCCTCCCTAGGAGGACCCTGGAACAAATCACTTACCCATAGGGCAAAAGTAATGACACCTGTGAAGATTTCAGTATTAAAGTGAAGCACTGTTACAGTAGTAGTCAAGACTACTACTGAGAGTAGACACTTTTGTTTTCCAGCTGGCTGGCAAGCAGACACACACTTAGCTTCTAGATTTTATCCATACAGACACCAGGCTTGGCTCTGAGTATGAAATCCCTGCCCTTGACTTCCTTCCATTTCTTAGTACCTAGTACAAATACCGAGTGGAGATCTTGTTCTTCACTGTAGTGAGGCCCGGGAGAGTGAGTACAATTGGGAAAGAGCTGCCAGGCGGTGGCAGCATTAGCTGCAAATACCATTTCAGTCTTGCCTGTGACCCATCTGAGGTTCCAGCCAGCGCTGCACTGGAATATTCTGCTTGCTAGACAACGGGTGCCTCCAGCCCCATTCCTGTGGGCAGGAAGGCAGCAAGTGAATGAGCAAGCACTCACAGGCTGGCAAAAACAAGGCTTACCTGTGCTACTTAAAGGAAAGGGAAGAAGCCAAACTCAGCAAGACAAATCCACAGGCAGAGTGAGTGAAGTCTGAAGTGAACGGCTCAGTAAATCTGTATGATTTCTTGTCCCAAATTTCAAACAAGTTACGGCAATCTCTGACAAAACAGGAAGGCAAGTCTGGATGCATTATTCTCCATCCCCATACATACATCCTACTCCAAGATCCTAGTCAGGGTGGTGGTGAAACCACTCTAGGCTGTGCAATGCTGAGTGCCGCAGAGACTCTGAAGAAGTCCTGAAAAAACACTGGCAGGCACCCACACATCTCACAGGGCTGGAAAAGACCCTTTTTCCAATGTACAAACATCCCCTTATTGTCCCTAGATAATCCTGAAAATCAGAAATGCAGTGGAGATAGAAATATCGTGAGAGGCTATTCAGAAACAGGAGACAGCCTACACCATAAGCCTGGGTTTGGACTCACACTGCTATGTATGACAACAGCAAGGAAGTTCTGGGTTGCACCCATCTCTTTTCAGAAGCAATAGGTTTTCATTTACCCGTTTGGCCAGAACCCCTCTCAGCTTTAATTCTTCCTGGAAGATTCCTCCCTGGTATCCCACTTACTGAAATGCTAGGGATTGGCACCAGACATAAATCTGGCCTAGTTACTACTTTTCCCTACTAAGCTTTTCCCCTACACAGCAATAGGGGGATGTGAAGAGGAAGCAAATGTTTTACTTTCCTTAAATCCCACAGTAAAACATGTTGTATGATATGCTGAGTAGCAGGAGCTACATCTGCTATTTTGAACATGGCACTGTGTAAGGAAAGGACTAACAAAGGCCACATGGAAGGTATCAGACTTCATCAAATGGACAGCCTTCTTCCTGGTACCTTCCTAATTTATTTATATTGTGTCTTTATTTTTAGCATAATATTTTTATCTTGGGATTAAAGTAAAATATCATACAAAGTACATATTTTCTCCTTAACCTTATTAAACTTTTTTCTTTCAGCCTTCCTGTGTTACAGAAGTTCTTGAGAAGAAACTGGACCATTGAAGTCTACAGATTAATTCAAATGTAAAGAACAAAATTCTTCACCTAGCTACAACTCCATCCTCCCTGGATCTTCTTGGCCATCCTACCAGGCAGCAAAATGTCTCTGCAGGCCTTCCCCCTGCAGAGGCATTCAGAAACAGCTTAGTTCTTCCCTGTATGAGCTAGAGATGACCAATGAGAAATTTGCATTCTCAGGAAGCAGTGAAGGAGAACAACTGTCATGTCATATTCTCTGTGCTCAGTAGCAGGCAGAGGTCCAACAAAACTATTGATAGATATCTTTGACTCACGGAGCTTGTACCATCAGTGGTCATACTGCAAAGACATGGTCAATGTCATGGGGACACTACCTGAGATGGTGACTTTGGGATGCTTGCCCCAGGTGCTTCCAAAGTGGACGGTTCCAGCTCATGGTTGACAGTCTTGGTCTCAGGGCTGGTGACGGGAGATCCATCTGGTGGAGGCGAGGGGCTTTTATTTGCTTTCGCTGGGGTGCTGTCACTGAAGGAAGTGGAGAGATAAAGGGAGAGAGAGGGAAAGAGAAAGAGAGAAGTCTGAGACAGGCCTAGGAGGAGTTGTGCTAACCAGCACAAATCACTGGCCTCCGTTATCTCTTTGCTTCGCTGCCCAGATACGCGATGAAGACATCTGAAGTCTCTACAAGCTTCTGAGAAGCATCTTTCCCGAGTTGCTTGCAGTCTAACACACTGCAGCAGCATTACTGTGCAGAAGGCTACTCACTAAATTCCTACTGCATGGATATACTTTGCCTCAGACACAGAAAAACAAAAACAAAAAAAACAAGCAGGCATCCTTAATCCTGCTAAATTCTAAAATAAGTGCCTGACATTAAGTCATAGTCTTTTAATACTGGGGAAACAGATGGGGGAAGGAGTTCTGTGCAGCTCATTTAGTTATAAATTCTACAGATACGGATTTTTCTGCATGGTAGTATACTGACACCTGCATGTGTGCCTAACAGATTCATAACACCTGAACTAAGACTGTAACTGCAGAATATCATATTCCTTTATGAGGTGCAAACTGGCTAAGCTGGAAGAGGGGCAAAGTAGCCAGAGGTTTGACAGATCATTCCAGATGGCAAAGAAACAGTGAGCTTCTGGCTACTAACAAAGATTTCTCTATTATGGAAAGCCACCCCAGCCTTGTTTCCAATGATGAACCCCTTTCTGCCCTTGCCTTTCCAGTTGGTCCTTATTCCGGGACTGTTTCTGACACACAGTCAGGAGGGATTCTTCAGGGAATTAAGATGCAAGAAGCATATGCCAATGGCATTTGTTGGTTCATAACTTGGCCAGATTTTGACAGATTTTTCAAAACAGTGACAAGAGGCACATGCATTTCCCTGAGGGCACACCCTGGCCAAGTGTCAAGCCTGTGTTTCAAAGTACAGAATCATGAGAGATTTACTAAAAAGTTGGTTACCAGAGAGTTTCAACAGGAATAAAGGTAAAACCATTTCCCCAGCCTAATTCTCAGGAACAGCTGAGTCATCTTGGCTGAAATTCAGCTCCCAAAAAAACAACTAATCAATTTATCTCAAGTCATGCAGGATCACAGACACTGGTAGGGACTATTTTAGCAGAAGAGGTTACAGTTTGGCAAAACTATACACAGCTGAAAACAGAATTGCAGACTATTGCAAAAGGGCCGTGCAACCTCATCTACAGGGAAAGATATTTGCTTCCACTTCTAAAGTTGAAGTTCTCGCAAAGTGAAAGGCCTTGGGAGAAGGCTGAAAGGAACAGATCCCTCCCTACAACTTGAGACAATAAATTCTGGCATAGAGCCAGGACTAGAGCAATGCAGACCTGATTTTGCAGGGACATCAAGTTAATTACTTCTTAACTCCATCCCAAAAGACCCCAGACCTCCATACATGTACATCCACTCATATGTGGATGCCCAAGGTGTGGTGATCATTGGCTAACATGCATGATGGCTCATTCCTAAACACTCACAAGTAGGGGGACAGCAAGAGGAAGAAGGGACAGCAAGGCATTTCAACAAACCTCCCCTTCCAAGCAAGCATCTCCCCCTACTCAGCATTCCAGCTTTCAAGCTCCCCATCCCATTCCCTCTTCGTTCACTTCCCCCTCACCCATTCCGCCCACTTTCTCCCCATATCCATACCCCACACACACATTTCCCCACAAAGCGCTTGTGTTCAGGTCCACATGCAGTTCAGAAATTTCTGATGACACCAATGCCAGCAGCACACCAATGTAGTGCAACAAATCCACTGATGTTCTCTGTCAGCAGCTCTCAACCAGGGGCACACACATCAAGGGAAAAAAGAAGGAAAGGAAGAGAAAAAAGGGAAGAGGAGGGACTAAAGAACATGTACGACAACCCCTGCAGCTCTTCAGTTTGACTGGATATGCCTACAGTGTACTTCCTCAGAGGTCCCCAGAAATCACTTCAGAACAGTGGGTTGTGTGAAGGATTCTGCAAAATTGACGAGCTTGTGCTACAGATTAAAAGCAGTAATGGCTGGAGGGTGAAGGTAAGAAAGTCCTGCTCTAAATAGGAGTCATCATGGAACAGCAGCAAACAACAGAAAATGTACTCCGATGCTAGAATTGGGGAAAAATTACATGCTACCCTCCCTGGAGTTGAAAGCACTTTGAAGAGGATGGATGACAGTGATCTACAATTAGACTGCTAGGAATCCTCAAATGCCCAGACTACACTGGCAATATTGAGACTACTGGCCATCAGCTGGCCTACCAACACAAGGGTAGACTTTTCCTTCTAAGGACCTGAAGAGGCCATTTCTAGCAGTGAGAAAGTAGTTCAGGCTTATTTTCTATAGGCCATGAAACAGCTTTTTAGTGCCTTATTTCAGGTGCCTGGCAGTGACTTAATTAGGAGCTGTATTGGTAAAAGGTTCCCACATGAGAGGCAGCCCAGTTTCTTCCCCTCATTATACAAGGGCTGAGAGGGCCCCACACTAAAGCCTTCATTAAGTCACTACTATTTACAGATTGTTTGATGTGTTGGCTGATCTCCCCAGGAAAATGCCAGTGCTAATTTTGGCTGAGCCTTTTCCAGCCCCCTGAGAAGCACCTTCATTCCTGCACTTGTTGCTTTGCACACATTTAGCCAGTGCAACCAGCATCAAGTGAACTTGTCATAAGTATCCTCTGTCCTTCATGGGTCCCCAGGGAGCACACGGTGACCACGCAAAGCAAAGTCCTGTCTCCAAACTGACTGCTTGCTCCAGGAAATACAGGGAAAAACAAGAGTGTAGGCACTGTCCCCAACTGACCAAACGTGAGTACCACAGTCAAAAAAAAAAAAAAAAAAAAAAAAGACAAATCAAGGAGGTCATTGCGCTCTCCTTTTCCTTCCCATAAGCAATTGGGAAGCAATGTCAAATCCAGGAATATCACGTGGGGAAGGGGGTATCAACTTTCTTCTGCAAATAGAGAGCTAAGAACAGGGTCTAATGCAGTTACTGCAGCTGAAGGGAAAGCCAAAATTCCCCAGCCTCTTTTAGTGCTGCTGAGCTTCCAGACCCCTCATGGGGCTGCCTCATCTGTTCTGGAAGAGCAGAGTAACATCTGCAGATGGGGTTCCCGCGTGCTTGTAGCAGTCATACATTACAAGATAAAACCTACTTTCCAATATGGTAAAAACAGACCAGTCACCTCCTGCCAAGTTCTGCAGTTAAAAAGAAAAATTGGTTGGCATCTCAGCTAAGAATCAGACAGGGTTTCTTAGCCAAAAGTAATTTATTTTTTAGCATCAAAGCAGGCTGCAAAACTAGTTAAAGAAAAAAAAAAAAAGAGAGGGGGCAGGAAAAAAGAGAAAAAAGTACCTACATACCCACACATATATTGGCACAAATGTACATTCTTGCTGCAGATTAAAGAGCAACTAAGTCTCAGACCATCCTTCCCTGCACCAAGGGTTACACTTTCCTCTGTGACCCCAGCAGCTGCTCTGACAGCAGAAACCCCCTGCACAGCCCAGGTCAGGCACCTTAACTGCTGATCCAGTTGGACTTTTATCAGGTCAGAGCAGGAAGACATTGTGGCTAGAGCTCATCGAGATGAGATTCACTAGCTCCACCTCTGCTGTAGCATTTGTCCATTCTCAGTGACTGGAAATATTAGACCTCCTGCCTGGTTCAAGTACAACACTGCTCCAATCAAGTCCAATCCAGAGAAGAACTTCTGTGAACCTTCCTTTTCCTACAGCAGAAAACTTCAGAATAGTAACAACACAAGACATTCCTTCACTACTTTTCATTTGAGGATATAAAAATCAAGATTTCCTATCAGCTTCCCTGTGAAATTACCATTCTCCACCATCCAACTTCCCACTTTACAAAGGTTGCATAGCAGAGACAAAGAGAAGGGTTGTATAACTTGCCCTAGTCAGCTGGAAACCAGGATCAGAAAAACAAGGATCCCAACCCAGTAGCACTTGCTTTTATTGCTAGCAGGACATCATCTTGAGAATTTCTTTTTTTTTTTTTCTTCTTGTAAGGACTCCATAGAGGGAGTACCAACACAAAGACTAAGAAAAACAGAGGAAGTCTCTATGCCATTATGCTGCAATTCCCATTTTACTCCAGAGCATGTTCTTGTAAGTCCTTGACCTTGGCTATGGTAACTCTAGGCATAATAGCAATCCAGTTATTCAGTGTCATCACTGTCTTGAAAGGCAAGATGATGACATTAGTCTTTATACAAGACAACAGGCTTCCTTTTCCTTCAGCCCTGCACAAAATTTTAAATGGATGGAGCAAGATAGTGAGGACCCTCAAGAACAGAGCAAGTAATGAACAAAGGTAGAAGTGTCCTCCTCCCACCTCATCATCCTCCTAACTGCAAAAGGTAGATAGGATGAGACTTCTAAGTTTGGACTTCATGGTCCTCCCTAGCCAGACAGGGAATGAGAATGCAGTATTTCAAACCTGTTTAAAAGGGAAAGGCCCAGTAGGTAAAACTAAAATCTGTTAATCATCAAAATTACCCATGTTTCCCACGGAAAACCCAGCACTGTGCTTTTAGTCACACAAAAGCAACTGAACAGACAACACCTGAGATTTCACACTGCCTTCTTAGATAGGAAAAGAAGCAAGAATTCAAACCAGAAACACAAGCAGTTAATGGGATTATCCAGACACAGAGAGATCTCAGCAGGACCCAGCAGGCCATGAACACATCGTATCATGCAAAGGACCCATCACAGGGTTAACACGTGCCAGGCTGTTAGAGTCCAGCAACAGCCTCTCCAGTTTTAGGAACTAAATCAAACATGTATCGAAATGCTGCTCTTCGTACCGGTACCTGCTCATCTTTTTCCTCAGCCTGGCGAACAGTTTAGTTTTCTTTCTGTTGAAGATGGCACGTAAATCATTTCCGTTACAGGATGACACAGTCAACCAAGGAGGAAAAGTTAAGCTTCTGAACACCTGTTCGCTTGGTGCCACAAAACTCACTGTAATTGAGATGACAAGATCTCCTCCCTCTCTCTCTCTCACACACACACACACACATACACACTTCCTTTGTTTCCTAGAAAGCTATGGCATGGTTTGAGGAGGGTAGGAGAGGGCTTTTGGTGCCTACTAAAGATCTACATATATGTGAACAAACTAGTGTTTTCCCTGCTCTTTGGAATATGGGGCCAGGGTGCATATGAAGGAGAAGAAATGGGAAGCTGTATAGACCAGCAGAGAACTGTAAATATCCTTTTTTTTCACAGGTAATTACTGCTCCTCACTTTCCCCTGTAAATATTGGTACACCAGAAACAAGCTCCCCATTCTCCTTTACTTAGGTGGCCTGTGAGCAGTCTTATATGTGGAACCTAATCAGCAACTTTCCTACTATGTCTTTTCCAGTTTGTCTGATTATATTAGGATAATGCTACAGATCTCCTAGGTCTTCTAAATATCTGAGCCCTGAATGTTCAAACTCCTTCAGAAACAAATGCCAAACATATGTCTGAGGTTCCCAGAAATACATCAGCTGCCCTGTGCTACTGTGCTACACAGCCAGCATCAGATACAGAAATATTTCTGTAGGGCCTCGCATGAATGCCGTAATGATGTGCACAGATAATTGCCTCTCTTCTCACACCTCCTCATTCATTTCCTGCCATTGTATCCATCTCCAGTCCCCTTTCCCTGTAGGGAAAGGTTAGGGAAGCATCTGCTCCTACTACAAACCACAATGAGCAATCAGATCAGTGAGGGCTATTTCCTCCTGCACACTCTCGCTCCAGCCCTGCACCACAATGAGAAGCCAGATGCGCAGGAGAGACAGAATTGCCTCACAGCATTTCCTGGTCACTGCAAAACCTATTTATTACTCTGGCAAAACCTTTGCTATATCTTCCTACAACACCCTGCTCCACTGTGCTCAGGAGGGAGTCGCTCTGGGGCGGGTCTGGCATCTCAGCCAAGATACCGGGAGTAAATGGTGAAGCAGCAGCACTCAGATGGCTACCCACACAGGGACCTCTGTGCGTGCACTCATTTTTGGTTTTTAGGGCCAAGCGGTCTCTTAGTCAGTCAAAGAGCACAGAACTGTAGCTGAGGCACCCATTACAGCCCCAGGTGAAGCTAGCAGTTTGTGGGGGCAGGAATCATAAGGACAGGTAATTTATTCATTGGAAGCTCTTTCAGGCCAGAAACTTCATGCCTCAAAAACAACAAATATGTTTGAGCCAGGCTGTCACTACAGCCTGAAATCAGTTCCTCAAGGAAGAAAGGGAGAAGGAAGGAGCTTTACAAAGCAATGGCTACAGCCTTCATCTGTCCTGATAACTCATCCTCCTCCAAGGACCCTGGGAGATGCTGCTATTAGAGACAACACAGCACATGGCAGCAAGAGGATGGGCACCACAGCCTCCTCACAAGGCTTCAATCTTGCTGGATTATTAACAGACACTCCATGCTAACTTGGTATAAGATACTTTCGCAAGAAGCATTCCTACTAGCATCTTGGAAACTTGGTGCTAGTAATCCAAAATTCAGGGGCCAAATTCACCTCAAACGTCCTCTTTCTTTAGAGCTGGCAAACACCATGCACATTGCTAGAACAAGACACACATGTTGTCTATGCATGACCAATAAGAGGTTAAACTGGGAGGAGGAACAAGGGAACACAGAGGTCTCAACAGCTGATCTAGCCCTTCTGAATCAATGCACTCAGACCATAGTTTGCCCTTCCTTCATGCTGACTTCACCTCCTCCCTCCATCAATACACCAACTGAGGACTTGGGCTGTGCTTCTGCTCACACAGCACATGGAATTAGCAGCAGCTGGAAGCCAGAGCCTGACGCTGTTTCATCACTCACACATTTGGATGGGAGCCAGACAGCCTCATCCAGAGCCCGACCTCTCCCTTTCCTCTCAGTGCTAGAGAATGTGCAGACTTGCACTTAGCCATATAGGACTGGACCCAGCTGAGGAAAGAAAACTGAAGTCCTAGAGGACACCTCCTCCTTGCATACGTACAGATTGTAAGTGCTCTGAGATCAGGACTTCTCATATTAGTGAGGTTGCAACTACTTCCACAACACACACAGAGGAAACACACCTCAGCTGGGTACATAGGAGGAACATAAAGCCTTGGCAAATAGGTGGTTCAAAGATCACAAGCTGCACATACATGGTGGAAGCTTTTGAGGGAAGGAACAGGACAGGTTCTGGGCAACTGAACCAAGAAGGAAGGGCAGCTCAGTACTACATATCAGTGCATGGAATCTGACTTTAAAAAAGGAGAGCTAAGAGTCAGTTGCCTAAATATGATCACCTAGTGAATCTGACTTTAAAAAAGGAGAGCTAAGAGTCAGTTGCCTAAATATGATCACCTAGTGAAAGCTTAGGCCTCCAGATACTATTCTAGAAAGATAAGAGGTATTGCATTGTCACCCAATCCCAACTGCAATCTTGGATATGCTCTAGGGAGTCTCAGGGGGGCACTGGCTGGCTACATGCAGGTAAGTCAAATCACTCCCCAGCTGACAACACAGAGGTTTCAATACCCCTGGTAGAGACATCCCTATCCCTCCTCCCCTGCTGAGGGAAGGACACTACTCCCACAGTTACTGACCTGGGCTGTGCTTTAACGGGGAAGGCATTGCCTGAGTACTGCTTGTCTAGACCCAGCAGGACATCATGGAGGTTTTGGTTCAACTGCAAAATACAAAAACAAAAGAAAGAAAAAGAATGAGAAAAGAGCCCAAGTGCCAGAAGAGAGTCTGGGCTGGCCTGCACAGGCTGAGCAAACACAGGCTTGTGCCTGGACATGTGCATATACTCAGCTATCCCGAGAGAGGACAGCCCTACATCTGTTTCCACTCCTCCATGGGGTATGAAATCCTAGAGCACTCAAACTGTTGAAGAGCTGATGGTGCCTCATGGGAATGCTCTGTCTCCCTTACACATCATCCTCTTTCCTCCTCTATCACCTGTCCCCACTGGTGTGCTGCCAGGTACCACTGCAGAAGGGGGCAGAGTGTTACCTAAGGGTTTATGTGCTAGAACCGAAGCTTCACATTGGATTTGTAGCCAAAGCTGTTCCTCAGACCACTTACCAAAGCTTGGGATATGGCCATTTCAACTTTGGAGTCAAAGGCAGATAGACTTCCAGTCAACAACAAGCCTTGACTTCACAGGCTGCCTGGGCCATCTACATTTTGGGAGGACCTGGATATCTTTGCAGAGACACGATATTAGGGGTTAAACTCTCCCTGGCACTGCAGGCTGCAATATTCACTCCAGACACTCCTACTCTGAAACAGACAATTCATAAACAAGATGAGATGCCAGATTTATCATTGGTAGGAGGAGGGATCCAATGCAATCAATGTTGGAGGCATCATGCCAGCAACACCAGCAGTTAATCGGATGCTATAGCAGTAATAAGAAACAGATGGTTCTTATGGAACAAAGCAAAAGCCCTGCTCTCACAAAAACCTCATTAAGAAAGAAAAATCCAAGACATGATAGAAGAAGAGAATTCCTGTCTAACAAGTATCTTTCCCATGTTTTTTTGAATGTAAGTTAACAGCAGCTAAGCGATAATTATAACAATCCTCCTTATTCTTAACAATCAGTTTATCCCTCAGTGGAGAAGAGCAGGCTATTAATTGGAGAGGTCCACATGAAATGTCAGCAGGGCTCAAACTTGATGCATTACACCAAGGCAGAGGGCCCCCGACTGCTCGGAACTGAAGGACTATAATGTTGCTTGTTGCTTAGCGGCTGTCTTGTTGTCAGGATGACATTGGGGAGGGGAGGGAATACAAGAGTTTTCCAGCTGGTTTCTCAGTTGCTCATCAAGATTAGTGCAAGGTTTACAGAGGGCGTGCAGCTCTTAGGAGCAGCATAGAGACGTAAGGAATTCAAGACGTCTCTAGCTTTTAAGTGAAAAAATAAGAACATATTCGTAAATGAAAGCAGCAATAGGGGACTTTTCTACAGCCTGTTCCTAATGTCTCTGCTGGGCACTAGCACACAGCACCAGGATTCAGCCTGCCACCACCATGTTACAGCAGTGCTTCTGCTGTGATTCCCAACCCGTGGCCAACTGGCCCATGCAAGAGCCACGCTAAGCACTTGAATGCCTTCTTTTGGGTCATAGGGCAGTAAAGAAGACAAAACAGAAATACTGCTGGGAAGTGCCTTTTTGAGGAACTGGAGTGAGTCAGATCTCATTCTTCAGCTGACTTGCAGATTGGCAGATTCCCTGTTGTTTTCATCCCCACAGCTAGATAGATGAGGGTTCAGAGCAACTTGCTGCCAGGTAGAACAGGAGGAGGAAATTAGATAGGCTGAAAGTGTCCAGGTTACAGATCCATAATATAGACTAACTAAAAAAGACAGCAAGAGATAGGCCTGAAAGTGGCTTCCCTTCACTCTGTGGATCTGCAAATGAGCCCTGCCAAGATTCAAAAATGCCTCACTGCTGCATGGCCCTGTGATCTCTTCCCTGTGCTCCATCCCTTTACATTACTATCTCAGACAACCTTTCTCCTAAGTGGCTCAGAAAAAACTACAGGTTAACATAGGACAAATGCTGTTCTCTCCAGATGTTTATTTTTCTTTTTTTTTTCTTTTTTTTTTTTTTAATAACATTGAAGAGATGGTGTATTAGTAGGATAAGCTGTTAATTGCCTTACCTTGCTCATTTCTTTATGGAAGTTCTCTTCTAGGCCTGCTATACTCTGGAATGTGTTGACGTAGAAACCAACACGACTGCCAAATGAAAAATGAAACAGAAGACATTAATGGACACAATGCTCTCCCAGAAACTTTCCATTCTGCCCCTTCTTCTACCTCCCACCAACCACACCCATTCAAACTCAACTCTGTCAGGTCTGGTACATGCTGGAAGAGAAGGGTGGCAGAGAAGCATGAAGGGGGTGATGAAGCAAAGGCCAATTATGGGCAAACATGCTTAAGGTGAGGAGGAAGCAGGTGGGATAGAATCTGATTTTGTGCTGGGCTAAAGAGAGGGAAAGAAAGAAAAAAAAGGAAAGAATAAAAGAGAACCAGTGGTAGGGTGATGGAAAGGAAAAGGATAGAGGCTGTGATGCAGATGGAATATGGGGATCGCTGGGGGAATTGGCAGAAAGACAAATATTAATTCACTCTGAAGTCCCTCAGCACCAGAGGAAGCAGAAAAGCATGAATTGTTTGCTTCAGGGGCAGAAGAGTAAGAAAGTACAGGATAGGCACAGAGAGCAACAGGAAAGCATAAGGATCAACAAGAAAGCAGAAACCTACGAACAACCTGTGGCACCTTAAAATCACAGTAGCTGCCTGCCACCCTCCTTCCTCTAGCCAACCTGCTAGCTGCCAGCAGTGTTGCAGCAGCACCCAGCTGGAGGAGCAACAGCAGGAGGGAGATGCTCTCTCAGGCCAGTGGCATCACTGTTATGCACATGGAACCACCTGGAGGCTTCTATCCCTCCCAGCTCCTTCCTCAGCCAGGCCTGCACACTGCTTTGAGCAGAGTCCTGATCCAGGCTGGAAGGGAAGGCAGACATCAGCACTTTGCTTTCCCACCCCGCCACTCACTCTCTCCACCACCCACAGACCAGCACTGCCAACCCAGATGTGATCACTGCATTTAAAAATAAGAAATGGGGACATTCCTAGGAGGATTTTGTCTCCTTTCCACCGTGGCCTCCCCATGCAACAGCTTCTGCTGTCCTCCAGTTCATACTCCAAGCTAAATGTTGGCCTGTTCCTTTCTCCTCCCCTTTCATCACCATAACCAGTGGTATGGCAAACTCATGGTCTCTCAAGTCCTCCTACTCTCTCAGCCCATTTTCCTCTGCCCAATATATGTTTTGTTAAATAGAGTACAACAGGACAGTTATAACCACTGGTTCCTCACTGGGTCCTGTGTCACATAACCAGGAGCACATTTAGGGGCAAGAGAAGGCAGTCACACCAGGATCCTTCCCTCATCTTTGTTCACCCAATTGCCCAAGCCTGAAAGTGGCATCCAAAGCAGAGCACCCTGTCCTCCCATCCTCCCTCTTGTGTTAAACCTGCTGCTTCACCAGATGCTCACAATCTTGCATGGTGAGACACAGTGATCAAGGCATCACCCCTTGGCTCTCTCCAACCCTAGTGACTGTATAAACCCTTCTGACATCTCATCTTCCTTTAACTACCCTGCTGTAGATGTTGCTTCCAGACAGCCAGCTCCACACTCAAAATCTTAGTGACTTAGCCTCCTCTGCCTGTTCTCCACAGCAGAAGCTGGGCCACTGCCCAGAAAATTTGGGTAGAGTTGGTGAGGCAAAGGGATTAATCAGACAAAGCATAGAAACACAGTTTTTCTTTGTGGTAAAATTTAGTTTTTCATGAGGATCGTGAAGCAAAGCACAGAAAGCCCAGGGCGAACTTGGCTGGGGGGTAATCCTAGGACAGGCTCTCTGAGATAATCCAGAAAACAAGAGAAGACACCCAGCCTAAGCTAAGGAGAACAGCGATACAAGAGCTTGGGTCTTTGCTTGCTTCCAATCAGCCCTTAGGAAAACTTCAAGCACTCACCTATTCCATAGCGAAGGCAGCTCCTCCTGCAGATCAACATTCATCTCTTCAAACACCTTCTGAGCCTTTACTAACTCTTCTTCAGCCTTAATAACAGAGAAGGAAGATTGTCAGCTCCAGCACAGACAAATATCCTGCAGGGCTGGGGCAACTGCAGCTCTTTTGACTTCCTTGGGAGACCAGGCAAGATTCTGGCATGGGATAATACCCATCCCAAATGAGTGTCCCAGGAACCAGGGTTGCATCACAAGTGACCTGATGCCCCTTGAGCTTGCATGTGTTGCTCTCAGGTTTTCTTTCAATGGGTTTCCCTGTTTGGATACTCAGAAAGCAATTCAAACATCCACTAACGTGTTTTAAGTTCTGTAAGTTTCCCTGGCTTCAAAAATTGAATGGAGCTGACCAGGCAATTCAGCCTCCAGCTTGGATATAGATGAATATAATAGTGGCCCCTGGCCCTTGCCAGGTCTCTAAAAGAGTTGAAATTCATCCCAAATGACATTGAAGAGTCTTCCCTTGTGGGGACTCTCTCTGCTCGGGTAAGGTCATGCCAAAGCCCCATCTCTTCTGAGGAAGGGAGGAGGTCTGCATCCTTGGCTGATGGAGTGTTCTCACAAAGCCAACTGGAGAAGCAAGGAAGGGAATGCAAAGCATGAGTTGTGCCAGCAAGAGGCCGGGCCGAAGGGCTTGAGCAGAAGGTCTTTGTTTCAGCAGCCTCACATGCTCTTATCAATGAGAATCTAATACAAGAACAATCCCTTGGTGTCTGTTGGCCAACACCACCAAAGGAAATATGCCTTGTACAGGACTGTTTTCTCCCAGCTGAGAGATAAAATTTGTTCTGTTCATTTGACCTAGACACTGACAGACCCCACCACTGATACATGAATTCTGCCAGATTTCGGTGACAAAAAGGATGATCCTGGCTTCTGTTGCTGACAGTAGACACCAGTAACAAGCACATTCTCCTTCCCATATTCGTCCTAGGTAACCTCTTCCTCTTTTCAGTGCCCTGGGTTAAAATTCAAAGCTTTCCAACTAAAATATTTCTATTCTGTAATTTGCAAGAGTACAGCATTCTCTCATAACCCTCTGCAGAGGGATTCAGGATAGAAAATCCCTGCGTGAGCAACTTGACAATACATCTTAATAGAAGGTCAGCATGAATGCCTACTTATATGCTTGTCAACAATAGGAATGTCAGAAGGCTAAAACTTTGTACTCAAGATTAGAAGAGAAAGTTACCCCAGAAAGAGACACAACTGGGAAGTATTAGAAAGTTAAGCAGACCTTGTGAGGAACAGGCAGGGGGAGAAGGGGCCATGATGCTTCCACCCAGAAACCCCTGTATTTTGCTGCTACGCTCACTGAAAACCCCAACATTTTGAGAGAGTTTAAACAAAACAAACAAAAAGCCCATTTAAACAGAGAGTTTATGTTGGATCACAGACGATGACCACAAAGACTCTTTCTACCTTACTAATCTTCTACGAACAAAGTTTCTAATGTAACCATTTTAAAGGGAGGGGAAAAAAAAAAAAAAAACACAAAACAAAACAAACAAACAAACAAAAAAAAAGAAACTAACAAAAAACCTCTAGTCCATCATTTGGCTTCATCTTATTCTAATTTCCAAACTAGACTGGAACCAGTATCAACCCAGAAGAAGGGATAGCTGGGAGATGAGGCACCACTGATTGCTGTTAGTTTTTCAGATACAGTGAATATTAATAACAGCCTTTCCCCCTCTCATTTACCTCTTCAGAAGGTCAGAGAACCTAGAAAGCAACGTGTGAATATTACCAAGGAAAAGGCAAATTCAGCAACAGGTAACGTTCACTCTAGAGAAGCTGTAGGAACCAGGGATCCATCTAGTGTTTGTGGCTCAGCTAGTGCTCTCGGTCCCAGGTACTGAATTAATCCTACACTTCTTTGCTGACCCTTTCTATTTCAGCTGTCATCCTTGCTGACCTGATGGAGAACTGAGGCAGAAGGACATAGTGCCCAGGTCCATGAAATGGGATCTCAGAAAATTCTTCCTCACCTCTCCCTACCTGAAAAGGAGGAGGCTTGAGCAGAATCTGGACGACACAAAAGTTTTCCTGACCTTCTCCCTAGCCAAGGCTCAGAGAGACAAACACAACAAGTTCAGTTGTGACATGGGAAAGGTTTTGCCCATTACACTTCCTACCATCATGCATCTTAGCACACATGAGTGTCTGGCAATATCCATCCTGGTGCTTTCAGGCAATCTGATGAGCGCTTCTCTTCAAACACTATGCTGTGAACTGTGAAAATTATACACTGCTCAGTAAATAGTTTAGACATCCATGAGGCAGGGGTAAGGAGGAGAGCTGGGTGCCCCATCCCAGGCCCAAGCCCCAACCAGGTCCAGCCAGATCGGCCTCTCTGAAGGGCAGCACAGCCCAGAACTCAACTTGCTGGCTTTCTTCTACAGACACATCATTCTGTTATCACTGCAGCACCAAGGATGTTGCTTTTTGGTCTGTATTCAGCATTTCAGGGGAGCTTAGCAAAAAGGCAAGAATTTGCTGTTCTAAGCCATTTTCCCTTTTGTTTCAAAAAGCACAGTCACCAAAATTTGTAACAGTGTGCGCAATAGCAACCCCCCCAGGAGACTTTACAGAAAATCCTCACTGTATTTTTTTTGTTATTATTTCCTAAAGGCCTAAAAAGCCTGCAGTTTGCACACTGGAGGGAAGGACATCAGTTTACAGTAGAAATAATAGGTCTTGCTGACCCCACTTTTGCTTCGAAGTTGTAAAATTATCAGGCAATAAGAGACAGCAACACAGCTGCTGGTAAGAGGAAGGACTTTTTTTTTTTTAGGCTTAACATTGTGAAGCTCTTCAATAAATGCAGTGTCATCAGCTTTCCTGCTTTTATCAAGATCTTAATGAGATTTAGGATTGTCAGTAACACCGTCAGTCTTAAAATTATGCAAATATAAAAACGGAAGCCTTTTTTTTTTTCCGTGTGCCCATGATTATGAAGAGCTGGAAAACCTACACATACAGAATACTTTGAGATTTCTTTTGTTAGTCCCCAATTAAAATATAAATTAAACACAACAAACAAAAACTCTACAAACACACACACAAAAAAAAAAAACACAATAAAAAAAAAAAGACACACAATTAGAAACAAAAAAATAAGGTTGGTAATAGTATTATTTAGTTCAAGAATCAAAGAGGAATAACTTAAAGCAGGACTTGTCTTGATTTGAAAATATATGGGGTGACTGAAAATATTAACAGCACGTAGCAGGAGGTTAACATCCCTGGAACAGAGCAGGTAGAAAGATTACATACCACTTTGTCACCTACTTTAGGGCAAAGCCACCCAGTACAGTGAAATTATCAGATGACTCTCGGTAGCTTGTCTAACATCAGAGTGCAAGGGATGAGGGAGCACTCATAGGTACTGTTTCTCTAGGCAATCTGTGGATGGTGGTGTTACTCCCAGTCACCCCAGCCAGTCTGAGAAGAGGAAAAATGTCCAAGAGCTGATATGCTTATCCATGGCTTGAGAAACTTCCCATACCTGTTTTCTAGAAATACCACCAGCCAAACAAACCAGTCAAGAACCACAACCACACAGGTCATTCTCAGCATGGCTGAGAGACAGGGAAAGCCCCGGCAGCCTGCCAAATGTCCTTCTCCCTTCAGTCCAGAATGAATACATATTTCCTCCCATTGCTATGCATCTTAAGCAGGACTGCTAACAGCTGCTCTTTCCCCAGACTTTAATAATGTGGTAATCTAGTCTTTTCCCTGATCTGCAATCATAAACCAACTATGAAAAACCCAGGTGCTTTATAAGGTGAGAGCGATTTAGTGTTTCTAAACTGCAATTCATTCACTGACAAGGAATGTGAAAAACTAGAAGCATTTGAATGAGAACAGATAAACTCACCAGGAACTTGCGAGCAGGTAACTGGTGCACTCCCAGTCTGGGTAATGATTTACTATCTCTTGCCCATTGAAAGCATTTTCTTCTCACTGGCTGTTTTCTGTCAGCTCCCTCTTATCCCTTAAGGAGCTCCAAGGTAAATACCAAGGGAGATTTCGTCAGGAAGTCACACTTCTATGCAAGTAGGAGTGAAATTCTTAGGCCCTACAGTTTCTCTGAGCTTCTCTCATGTCCCTCAAGACACCATAACCTAAATGTTCAGCCAAGTTCTGCCACATAACGTAAACATGACCTCAATCTGGAGCTGTTCAGATATATTACACAGGGTGCAAATTCCCTGGTCTTGGCCCACCTCTTCTCCTATGCAAATTGAAACTCTGTACATCTGGAAATAGCTCTTTAGACCACAAGAGCCAGGGGAGTGCCCATTTTGGAAACTTGGATTCTACCACAGGAGAATGTCGCAACTTAACTCAGCAGCCACAGAAATTGCTTTTGAGGCAATAGGGTTTTTTTCTGACTTTACTCAGTAGCACAAGTGCAGAAGCCAATTTCTCAGTGTTTCCTCCTTTTTCTTTATTTTTTTTAGCAGCTACAATAAAAATTGATTGCTTCTTTTAGAAGAAAAAGAAAGCAATAATTGGAGAAACTACACTACATCACACTCTGCCTTGACATTATTCCATAACCTTCATCATTTCATTTTAGGGGTAGAAAACAGTAATCCAGTATTAACACACTTGATTAGAAATCAATAGATTCATTCACTGGTCAGCAACTTCCATGTGCCCACTGTAGCTCAAGGCTATACAGGACACACTCAAAGAGGACTAGAGTGAACGTTGCCTAGAGATTAGTTGCATGGTACAATCTAGAGCCCAAAATAGCACATGCAGGGTTAGAGCCAGGTAGATCAGCAGTCACCTGATTTCGGAGCAGATTAGTTTGCGCAACGAGGTGAGCTTGTAGCTTCCCTTGACACCACTGAGGCGCAGCTTTCTCAAGCAGCGAAACAGGCTGGGGGGAGGGAGCATGTTTGAGTGAAAAGAGAAAAAAAAATAAAAAGAGAACAAGAGAGACACAAACATATATCTTTCAGGCTAAAAAAATTAAAATCACAACAGTGAGTGTATTTAGAGGCTGGGACAAACCAGTATCACCGAGGCGAGAGAAAAAACAAACATCCCAGGATCAATCAGTTATGAATCCTTTGAAGCATGCCAAGTTTATCAGTAATTAATGCTCCAGTGTGGGCTGGGATACTGAAGACCAGCCAGGCAGCTGCAAAGAGCAACAGATATAGTTGTTAGTGACCTAGCACACAAACAACCCTACTCCAAGTCATAGCTGTGAAGTGGAAGCTCCTTAAAGAGAGGTCAGGATTAATTAATCATTGTAATTATTTGCATGCAACAGCTGAAAGTACACAATGCTTTATTTTAATGGCAGATTGTGAGTTTAGTAATAAGTGGCAGGAGTCCTGGGTGGGAAAAGAACATCCATATATTAGAGAAATAAAAAAGAGACCATATAGCTCCAAAAAAATATTTGCATTGTTGTTTCTGTTACTATACCATGAAACATCAATCAAGTCAGTTGCCACTTGTTTGCTGTGTCATAAGCATGATTTCTCTTTCCTAGGGGACTGCCATCGTACTCCAAAGTACCTTACACCGGAACAAGCCTATTTCAAAGGTCACACGAGCAAAACCGCAGTCACAGAACAGAGAGGAGAACTTCCTACATCAATCAGTCCAGTGCACGCTGAGCCCTGGCTGCCGCCCACAGCCCTGCAGAGCTGCATGACTGCAAGTGCGGGATCACAGGCTGGGCTGTGAAACCTGCCCATTTGGGAAGAACATACATACATAACTTTCAGGGACTCACTGCTCCCATCTTTACAGGACCGGGACAGTGTGATGTGTCACATATCATGTTCATGAGCTTAGGGCCTAGAGCACATAGGGTGGAAAGATGTGATCCAGTGCATATTGACTAAGGCAAGAAGTCCTTCAAAATACTAAGAGACACTTGCACAGGCTGAATCGGGAACAGAGCACCAACTCCTAAATCTCAACATTTCACTCTTCAAACTGCACCATTCTTCATATTTTAACAGAAGAGCAACAAACAATCCCTTGATAACAGCATCTTATGTGAACATCTGGGGCAACACAAGTGAGGGCAGGCATGACAAAGAAGACCAGCCTATTTGGTGCAGATCACCAGGTACCAACCTGAGTAGATGAATTCCTATAGAAACTATTTCCACTGCAGCGAAGATCCCACAGGCACATACCAACAATAATATCATGTCCCAGGGAAATTCTGATCTTACCCCCAAACATAGTGGAATACTGCTTTGAACAGGAGGCACAACCAGCTGGGCCTCATGATTTGCATACAGCACCAAGACTTGCTTTGCCACACAAATGATGCAATGACACCTCAGCCATCCCTTTCTCTCCCCTTTGTCAGAGTTAATCACAGTGCATGCACTGGGTAGACAGATGATTGATGACTTGTGGCTTAAAAATAAAAGTGCTGTGGCCATTAAACGCAGAGCTTTCACTCAGGAGACAAATACATCTTTAATTCTTCCATACAGGAGAAACACTAGTGCCTCTCACATGGACCCTATTTCCCCCTACCAAAAATAACTCTAAGCAAAGGATAACAACTCTTATCAGCCTGGTTAAAAGATATAGATCCAGGCTCTTTCTTTCCTTCACTACTTCTAGCCTGCAGAGTCCTAATGTGCCACGGCCCATATTCAGGAGAATTAAAGATGTCTCCTCAGCCCTGAACTATTCTGTTGTGTCAAGACCTGTTCTGTGGAATGGAACACGTGGGTTCAGATCCACTCAGGGTACAGGAGTAATCCACAGCTCATTCTCTGGGAAGATATTCTAACCACGCACCTCCTCTAGAACAAGGTTAGCAATATCATCTTTCTTCAGCTACACTTAAAAGAAAATCTTCACTTACATGTTGGGCATATTCTGCAGTTAATCCTACATTGAGCAATTCAGAGGTATGAAATAAATCACATCCTGACAAGAGAAAATTCTTGGTTTTCTGCTTTCAAATATAATTATTATCCAGTAATTGTGACCAATAGACAACAGAACACAGTCATCAAGTGTGCATAAGGTGCATATCCACCGATGAACTTGTAACTCACACTCGTAAGGGTCTTTGTCCTAGAATGACAACTTCACAAACCAACCTCAAACAACAGTCAAACACTCTCACCACTGCTCTAAGGTGGGGAGACAGAGCCCCAAGAAGCAGACAAACTGGAAAATTTTTCTGGGGCATTGCAAGGTTTTTCTTCCCTAACAGACCCATGGAATTTTCTGACAGCTGTTACTGGTCCTGCAGCATCCAAGGAAATACATGCCTAGGCCTTGTCCATCAAGAGATGCAGGCTGATTATAGTGGGTCTGAATCAACACAACAGGGACCATCCTGCCTTCTAGGAGAAATAAACAGGTGAGAAGGAAATACCTAGCAAAACCTCACCAGTTCATGACACTTACAATGATCTTAAAAGTCCTTTCCAATCTAAATGATTCTATGAAAACACACCCAGTGAATAGCTGCAGGCACAATTAGAACCTGCTCTGTAGGCAAATGCAGACCTTCCAAAATGAAAGGATGGTTGCACATCTTTCTGCTTGATTTACCTTTGCGATTTTGGTTTCATCCTTCTTCTTTGCAGTTTGCAGGGCTTCAAAGTGGTGTCTGGCACTGTCGTAATCCACAAGCTTCCTTCCTCGCTTCGCTATACGAGACTAAGAAAGATGGAGAAAAGAGCTGTGACAATCTTCCCCAGCAGCCAAAACCACAAAGCCTCTCAGGAAAACCCCCATCCTCTTCACCCAACTTCCAGAGCACCCCATGCCTTGCCCACACAAGGACACTCGCTGGATACTCCACACAGGCTGTTCAGAGAGGTGGCCCTGGGAGCCACCTGTGGCAACCACCATTCTAGAAGGAGATCCTCAGGAGGAGCCAGGGAAAGCAAAAGGATCCAACCAACAACAGGCCCCACCTCTGAATGACATTCATGTTTTCAGAGCTGTAGCTCTGGTGCTTGCTAAGCTTCACCATGACCTCACTTCTTACGGGAACCTGTTTCATCATTCTCAGGGCCTCCTGAGGGCTGCAGCCAGACTCTAAGCAGCTCACAGCCCTAGTTAGTGTGGTAGCTCAAAAGATTAAGTTCAACAAAAGAACGCATTTCTGTTGCCAGCACATCAAAAGCACTCATCCACATGCTCAGGATACACCTAGGACAGAATTTTGGACCCTGCAACAGGAGGTGTGAACAGAAAGGACTGCAGCCACAGGCAGTGGTCCATTGTAACTAGTTATTAAGCAAGTGAAGTGCAAGGGAAAAACTGTAGCACTACGTCACTAATACGGCAAGACACACCAAAGCTGTAAGAAACGCAAGGAGGGAGCCAACTGTGTACCAGACTCACGTTCAGGAACAGAGTCCTGACAAGTCCTCGTGTGAGAATTGAGAACAGAGAGCCAGGCATGTGGCCTGATCCTCCATTATCCTTCTCCATCTGAGGACGTCAGTCTCTGTCCCCCAGCAAAGTTTCACCTCAGCACGGCTCAGGCCCACTGGGCTGCCCTGTTTTAAAAAACATCCCTCCCCCTTACACTCTCGCATCCCACACTCTCTACAAACACCCCAAACTATCTGGGTTGGGCACAGGTCTTCCTAGCCTGACCCTAGCACCCCCCCCCCCAGCTCAGAGCCTGGTCCAGCACCAGTGATCAGCAGTCTAGAAACAGGCTGGAGAACTGGAGTGAAAAGGCATGGCAAGGAGCCAGAAAGGTTTCTAATTATCTACAGAACCCTGAGAAATTGAAAGTGCAAGATGAAGAATCAGCACTGGGATTTACTTGCAAAAGCAAAATCCCCCCCCTCTACTGCACTTGGCAGGAAGATGCTGTCCCCTCTCCCTAGGCTCCTGCAGATAAGCTGCAAAACCGCACTCAGGGCTGATCTTTCTGCCAGACCAGCTGAGACCAGTTCACACGTCTCCTACACATGCTCCTCTGCGCTTTCAGCAAACACTGGTGCAGTTCTGTGTGAGTCACAGCAGATCTGCAGGATCTCAGCTACACGCACACCCAAACTGATTTCAAAGCGCTCAACTCACTCCAGGAGAGGAATTACGAAGAAGCTGAGCCACCCTGCAGTCGAGGTCACTAGAAAACACCTCCCAGGCATTATGCTGCCAGCTGGGCACAGAGACAGGATGTTGGGGGCTTCCAGCAGCATGACAATCTCTGAAATGGTAGTTAATGCATTTTCCACACACATCAGATAAAACTAGTGGTCAGATCTGGGATTTAAGAGAGTGGATTTTTCCCCCAAGTCAGACTGGTAGAGATAGCTGGAGTTTTGACCACCTCTCACATGGAAAAGAGCCAATTCCAGGTTTCCCTGCCACCCCACAAGGGCGTTTGATGCAATGTCACCCATCCCTCAAACAAGGTCACTCCTCACCTTTTTTGCAGCTCCTAATCTTCTAGAAACTCACCCTCATATTTGTATCAGAGTACATGGAAATGCTAGGAGGTACGGATATGATGTGTGGGATGACACCTGGAGTAACCACTGATCACACAATTGCCTGTGGTGGAAGTAATGGGACTTAGCCCAGAACTGGAAGGCTCCAGAGTAGGTTCCTTGTATGACTCTAGGATAGTTGCAGGTACCCACCACTATTTGAACATAAAAGCTGAACTCCAGAATTTACTGCTTTGCAACTTATCCATATTAATTTGAGCCCCCTTTAAGAAAAAATACAAACAAACAAAACAAAACAAAACAACAACAACAAAAAAACAAACAAACAAACAAGAAAAAAGCACCATGAAAGACTTTTTTCTCCCCTTTTACTGATATTTGGGCTCAAACCTAGTAGAAACAGGGCACCAACTGCAGTAACAGACAGAAAATCGCTAATTCCACATATATTCAGAACTTGGGTTATGGTTTACCCTCTCTGGGCTCACTGCAGAGACCTGTATCTTACTGCATACTCTGCAGCCTCGACCATAAACTCACTCAGAAATAGTATAGATTATGCAAGAGCCCTACTCCAAGAAGTTATAGATACTGACCTGAAAAGAAAGGATAAAGTATTTTTTGCATTCCTGTTTTTCAAGTTAGAGAAGATAGAGGGCCTTTGCTGAAATGTCCCTGCACCCAACGCTTAAAAATTATTCCCATTAACTTATAAAAATTCCTTACTAAAGGAATGTTATGTTTTCACATTCCTGCTGTGGGTCCTGTCGTAAGTCAAAAAAAATTCAAGGCAATTTTTCCAGCCCCTCAAGTGAAGAAAGATTCAGAATATGTTAGAATTTAACAAAAATCATGCATGCATGATCTAACTCATCACGCATTTGAGTTACTGGGCCGTTAACAAAAAACAGGCCTTCACAAAAGTAAATTAAAATCATCTCCTCTGCATAAATCATCTTTCATTATCACAGCAATTCCAGAATTCCAGGAAAAACAGAAAATTTGCTTTTGTGGAAAACAAAAAACAGAAAGCTATTACCACAACAAAAAACAACTCAAATATTCTGTAAATTACATAAGACTTTTTTTTTTTTTCTCGCCTGCCAACCTCAAAAACTCCAACTCCTTATGTGAAGCCAAACTACACTTTTGTACAACTGCAACAACCTTCAACAAGAGCACTTAGAGGAGTTTCTACCAGCTGAAGCAAACATACTTGATTCGAGCACTTCTCACTGCTTCAGTGTAAGGAGGATGATGCATTCAGTTGAATTACCAATAAAAACATACTGGCCTTTTTTAATTCATACCATTAAAAGCCCATTTTAAACAAATAGCCAACTCTTGTGAAATATATCCATATCTTACTGTACGAACCAACAGAAAGCCAAATTCTCACTTGTTTTATGAAGGAAATTGGAGGTAATACTCTCTTTAAAGCATTGTTTAAATTGTGCATAAAATCGCTTTAACTTCCCATTTTGAAGAGCATCATCTCAAGACTGAGAAAGGAACATTAGTAGAAAACACATTAGTGGACCTTTCAGAAGTCAGAAAGGATCCATGGGAGCTCAGTGTCTAACATCTTGAGTTTCAGTGCAATTTGGGTGGTCCCAGTCTTGAGCTCCTTTTAAAATCCCACTGTAAAACCTCAGTGGGACCCCAGCAGAATTAAGAAATCCTGAAGACACTCAGCATGAAAAAGCATGACACTGAGGTGACCCAGTGCACAGCTGACAAGGCTGGTAAAATGTGATTTGGGCTGAAGTAGCGCAGAGTTCTGAGTCTACAGCGAGCCTGAAATAAAACCTTATGCTTAAGAAGCGGTGCACGAGTCTGTGCTGCTAACCGAGGCACATGGTATCACACTGTGGGGAGCAATCAGCTCTAACAGTCTTGAGCGGGTGGAAAGCAACAGCAAGCCTCTTCGCCCTTTCCCATTTCAGACTTACACGGACAGAAGGGGCTGGAAAAATGAAGCAAAACCAAGGAGCCTCAGGAGGCAAGGACACTGCTGTTCAGGGCTCATTTTACAAGCATGTGACCTGCCCCCCTTTGATACAGCACGATCCTTCTAATGCAACAAATATTGACAAACGATTTAAGAGATGTGGTGGGGAAAGGTTTGTTTACACTGGGAAGCAGCCAAGCTGATACTTCCCATATGGTGATATCATTACTAGTGCTTCCATACGGTGAAGACATTTCCTGCATAACCTTCTCAAAATTAATGGAGAGGAGATAACTGTGGGGGAAGGGAAGCTCACAGGACATCATTCAAACCCAGGTCCTTGGGTACAATCTCTCCCCAAAAGACATGTATCCAGCATTACCCCTTTCCTGTAAAAAGCTGGTTATATGCTCAGCAGGGCTTCAGGGAACACACAGAAATCTGTCTTCCACACCAGCCTCTACTTACAAAGTACGTTTGCCATTAACTGCTTCCCCAATGCTTTGTGCTTGCAAGAAAGTTAAAAACACAGGACCAAAAAGAGAGACAAAGTTTGTGAGTTATTGCTGATGCTTCCATCTTGCACTCTGATATAATAAGGAATTTTAGGGATCCTCCCGTTTACACTGATGTTTTCTCTTCGGTATCTTTCCCCTGGATTCTTCACTCTTATTTTAAGCCCAAAAGGAGTACATAATATTCTCACATGACCCATAGCTGCAAAGAACTTGGCTGTTCTAAAAGGAGTGCTTGCAGCAGCATAGCATACACATCCTCCTAAAGAAGGTGAGGATGAAAGAAAATTATTCTTATGAGGTTTCATCTGCTATGACTCTCTAGATCAAAAGATTTAAAAAGAATCTTACTTTAATATCTGGAAATTGTCCAAGGTACGTATCCATGGTCAGAAGTGCCTGATCCACCAGCTTCTGATGGAAATCCGTCCAGAGGAGATCATTGTTCTGAAAAACAAAAACAATTAATTAACTATTAATAACACAGATCTCTGTGTTTCTATTTTTCTCCCTGGGTGCTACAGTCAATGATTTCAGTGACACAGCTCTTAAGAAATAGTAATCGGTCCTTAGTTTTTCCAAAGAAAATAAGTTAATTGAAAACAAAGATCATGCCAGAAATGTAGAAACAGAGAAGAAAGCCTGATGCTGTTAATTCAGGTGACCTCTCCAAGGACACAGTCCCCTTTGTGAACCTTCTTTTGAAGGCCTGTCTTTTCCCCTGCATTGGTAGCTCAAGTCCATACAATGGAAGGGAAGATGAACGTCAGGCTGGCTTTACATCCTTCTCCAGGCAGCCACAAGATGGGACACCTGGCACCAATAGGCACCATTTTCTGCTCTTCATTACAACACAGCTTTCTGGAGGATAACAAACAATAACAGAAAGCCATTCTAGCAGTCTTCAGCCCTCACACCATCTGCCTCCACAGCCCAGTGGAGGTCAAATCCAAGGCTTGAATCCTAACTTGTGCACGCTTTATCCTTGACCTTATCTCAAGCACAGTAGCTTCCCATCAACACCTTGGATTTGGTGGAAAAATTGCCACTCTCCTGTTTTTCCACTTGAACAAAATGTTGTTGCTAAAATACGCAGGAGAATATTCCCACTTTATGTGAAAATTTTTATTTTTGGGGGCACAGGAATAACACTTTTGTCCCAGCTGTCTTCCTGAAAGAGAGAAACATAAACAAAGGCATTAAAGGAAGAGGTGAATGGCTGCAAATATTCCTGCAGACCCTCAGAGTAGCTGCAGTTAGTTCTGCTCAGGATTTATGCTCCCTTTGACCTCTCTGGCTCAAATTCTCTAAAGGGACAGTCTCTCAGGAGGCACTGCAGCAGCTCAGGAAGAAACAAGGCCAACAGAGAACGTGAAGTCAAACCAGCTGCATTACAACTCCATTATTTACTGCAACAGCAGTTCCTAATGGAAAGTTTCCATGCTAATGCAAGAATTGACCTGGAAATGTTCGGGTTTTGTTTAATTTATCTGCTTTGAAGTCAGTATTTCCTGGGCAAGATGAAGATGTTATTTCAGGTGAGATTTTCTGCAGGGGAAAGCAGGGGAAGGAAAGAATCCTTCTGCTCTCCCCCTCTGTTCCTTCCCCACAACTTCAACGCCATAGACAGCTGCAGATAAGCCCAGTCCTGCAGCCACATGGCAGATTGATGCACCAAGCTGAATGGCCACAGCTGCTGCACAGCACAACAGCTGAGCAAGAGAGCAGAGGGCCCCTGCATCCAGATGGACCCACCACACACAAATGCCAAGGGAGAGCCAAGCTGTCCCCTAAGCTGCAAACAAAACACCTGGGCAAGTTGGAGAGGCATCACCTCAGCAAAGGATAAGAACATAAGGTTGGGGTGACACATGGCACAGTCAAACAAGGTGGCAATTAAAATAAGGCAGCTGGTGGTACTGCTGTGAGTAGGTTGTTTCAGCTACACAATAGCTGCTCTGACCATGCTTTGGCCATAGATTTAGTTTCCCCTTTCTCTTCCATAGAGCATAAACAATACATCTAGTTGACCCTGCTGACTCTCTTTTGGCATCCTCTGTCCCTCTTTAGCCCACAAATTGCTTGTGGGAATAAGCATACAGCTCTGTGTAGCGTTCAAGCATCTGGGGACAGTGTCCTACACAGCCAAAAATACAGACCACATCACTCAGCTTTCCCTTCTTCCCAATGCTGAGTTCATCTCTCCAATTCTTCTGCAAAGTCACATGCCTGAAGAAATGTGGCACACAGATATAGATTCCAAAGCTCATCTCTGCTGACCCCACATCCTGGACAGAGTCTTACCTCTGCTATTTTATTTGTGTCATCTCTCCCAGGCCAATCCGGCTCATAAACTTCCTGCAAACACTCTGTCAGCTTCTTGGAGGCCTCGTGCATGGCTAAGAAAGAAGAGGGAACTGCTTCAGAAAGAAAGAAGTAGTGTGTTCCTCACAGTTTAACCATCATCCTGAGAAACGGGGACAGAAGAGGGTTATAAAAAATATAAGCTCTTCCTTACAGAGTATCTGAACCCTTGATAACACAGAAATTGAGGTAATCAGAGAAAGGAATCAAGGATGCAGTTGCATAAAACCCTTTGTGTTCATCATACCCTAGCAAAATATACGAGATCTGATAAGACAGCACCACCTGTTTGGCCTCAAAGCACAGACATCCCAGTTGGTCCTCAAGGATTTTGAAAGATCCCCACCCAGACAATGCTGACCTTTCCTAGAACTCACCCCTGAGGAAGCACCGGGAAGAGGATGACTGCAGAAACTCCACTGCATAGGTAAGCACTAGAGGGGAAACAGTCATCTATTTAAGCAGACCTTACCTTTTACAGAAGCCAAATAAGTTCGGAGGTCCTTCTGCAGCCTCGTGCCTTCAGACTGTGGACATAGGAAGACCATCAGTTACTCTCTCATATAAAGAAAATGTAAGGAGTCATCAAGCATTTCTAAATGGTCTTGCAGATAGGCTACATTCCAGCCCTATAACCATGTGAAATGTAAATGTTAACAAGGAGACCACACACCCCTCTGACTTGGTAAGCCCACAGCCAGAAACCTGCAAGCATATTTGGCCAATATTGCCACCAAGGTACTGAGTAACTTGATATGGACAAAGCTGTGATTTGCTCTTAGCAGCAGAGCCAGCTTTAGAGTTTTTATTTCATACAAGCAACTAGAGAGGGTCCTAAGGGCAACAATTAATTTATAAGCCAAGGACTAACGGCTCTATGTAACAAATATAACTGAAGGGGTCTGTAGGAGATAAATGCAATTGATTTTTGTACTGGTTTGGGAGCAGTTTAGCTCACCACTTTTTCCTGCCACACTGCAAACCAAAACCCCAGTACAAAGTGGGTACAAGGGACCTCTGCACAACCCAAAAATCCTGTCTAAACTGTTCTGTGCAGCAGGACTTGCAAATACAAAGTAAATCATCTTTTTATTTAGCTTCACTGTGGAGGCAGCCTGCCAGCAGCAGATCTCACTCACTAAGAGACAAAGGATTAAAACCAGAAACTGAGCTGAGTTTTGCCAGTTTGCACCTTCAGGTGACACAGCTGAGTACAGTACAAGAACCCAGACTAAAAATGATTGTGCAGATTTTTACAGCAAAGTTGGTTCAGACATGCACACATACGTGTAGTCCCCAAACGACTGCTCTCTTGCACTAGGATAAACATATTCAGGCAGGCCCACCTCCCCTCTACCTTGCCATATGTCACTGACAATGGTGCAAAGCAGACAGAGAAATACTCCCAAATATAGTGAGTGACATTATACAAACAGAAATCAAAGGAAGAGAAAAGTGAGGCTTGAGAAGTTGACCAACACCACCACAGAGCATATCAAAGCAAGAGAAGGAGCAAACATTGAGGACACCTGTTCAGAAAACCTCTAGAGTATGCAAGAAGAACAGAAAAAAAGTTTGAGATACAAAGATCTCTGTTATAAAATGATTTCTCTTAGCCTGTGGGATCTCACTGGATCCTCACTGTCCCCCAAATTAGATGTTAAAACAAGAATGCAGGAAAGTGACTACACCTCACACCTTCCTCACAACATGCTGCCATTCCTCCTCCTCTTTCCCAGTTTGTGTCCCATTAGGGGGGCCATCAGCATAATGAATCTTGACAGCTGAAGACAATTCCAGAGACAGGGAGCTCACAGGACATCTGACAGCTGCCTCAGAGCTACTAGCTTCAAAAGCAGATGTTTGCCATCAGCACTCCCCACTAGTCAGGCACCTCTTGACTCAACTGAGCTCATGCTGTGATCCTTTGTGCTCTCAGTGCAGCTGTGCTCTCTAAGCAGAGGCTAAATCTGCCCAGCTGTTGAAGTGGCAGTGCTAGCATAGCTTTGTGGTGAAATCCATCTGCTTCCAACACTATGGCCCAATTTGTTTTCCTTGCCTCGAAAGTTCTGGATGAGTTCATATTTGTTCTTTTCCTACTGCCATCAACAAAGAAAACGAAGGACGGGAAAGAGTTGGCCACTTTTATAAAAGAAAGTCAGACTCCAGTCAGAAAGTCTGGAGAAGCATTGGGAACTGACCCAAAGATAGTATAAGGGGAAAGGAATAATGACCACATCTGCTGCAAAAGTCCTAGGAGTTCTTAAAACACAGACCAAACAAATGTAGAGCTTTTTGCTGTCTTAGGGTGTATGTGGAGACCTGGACAGATGAGAGTTTCCTAACAGTGCAATCAGAAATCATCAAGGAAGAGGTGCCAGAGTAATCAAGGATCACACACAGAGGACCATCAGGGAGGCTGATGTGACAAACAGCACTTCAGTCAAGCTGTACTATGTGCTTGCTTGTGCCCAATGCAGGAAGCAAGAAAATCTTAGAAGAAAGCAGTGATGTCTGCCTAGAATTGGTCCATGCTAGAAATCACTAGACCGCAGCTGGCAAGATGAGGTGTCAGAACACAAGAGGAAATGGCACAGAAGGAACTATCATGCAAAATCCCTCATTATCATCCTGCAACTGCATCATTTCTAAGAATGAGTAAATTTTAACATACAACTTTGAGGTTATAAGAAACTAATCAGTAGGAAAGGTCCTCTGCAGAACTTGCCCACCACACATTTGGGCACTGCAAAGTCTAGAACTGTAACTCTCAAAATTATAGCATCTAAAATCATAAACCACCTCTAAAATTGTGCCCATACTTGCCTGAGTCCTGCCACAGCAGTGCACAACACAACTCAAACTCATGAACTCCTCAAGTCTCAATAGCCAGTCCCAAAGACATAGGGAAAAAAGTATCCTCTAAGAGGTACACCAGCATCACAATTAAACATCAAAACAAGATTTTTAGACAGATCACCTGAAAAACCTGCAAGTCGAGGCTCAAATACTGGAGCATGCAATTTCAGCAATGCACAAGTAGCCTTCTGTGTTCTCCAGGCATCCCCAACATCACTTGTCTTGCCACAACATGAAGTCAGCCAATATGCAGTGCTGCATCCTGCAACTGGAATGATCTTTCTCAGTCACCTCTTGCTCATGTTTAAAGTCAGAGTTACAGCTGAGCTCTATGACTATGGGCTTACCCAAGCCTCTTAAAAAGTACCAAGCCTGCCAGGGAGAGTGAATAGACTTTACAGCCTGTAAGATCTGCAGGCAGAAAGATTTTCAAAGAGAGGACCATGTTCAGAATTTTGGCTTGAATCCCATTTCCTCAGCTCCCCTGGGCACCTGGGGTCCCCATCCAAGTCCCTCTGTCATTTCAATTGCTTCATTTCTTGAACACCAGTAAAGCAGCTCCCTCACTTGACACAAGGGTTTCTTTTTATTATTGTAAGCATGAATGCTTTCCCAAGAAACTTTGGCAACAGCTTTCTCTCTGTGCATGCAGCACCTGCTTTTTTTCAAGTAGGCTATGGTGAGCTGTCAAGTAAAGCCAGTTCTACATAAACACCTCTCGAAATGCAGTTAGAAGTTAGACACTGTCAAATACTCTACAGAACAGAAGCTTTCAACACCCTTGGTGTGCACATTTAAGAGATGTTTCCTAAATTCAAAGGTAAAAAGTAGGGAAGAGAGTTAAACTGGAATTTGGAAAATTAATCCACTTCCCAGTTATCAAAGAGTTTAAGAGCATGCAGAGGGAAGTTACAGAGGTATAGTTGAATCTAAAGATATTAAATATATATATATATAATAGCACAGTAATTTTTAAATTGCAAGACCATAAATAAAGAAGAAATGGGGTCTGTGTATGTATATCAGAGTAACAAAACAAAAGGACAGTAAAACTAGGACAAAAATGGAAGATCAGTGCTGATTCTGAACCCCATATTCATTTTTCATCCCTGCACTAACAAACTGACTTAAAACCTTTGTACAGGCACCAATGTCACTGAGCCTTGATGCAGGAGTGACCACAGTAAGTTGTTCTACTCAAACACACAAGTGTCATCTTGTTTGAGCAGATATTGCCATACTTGCAATCATAATGTAATTCGACCCTGTGAACGTATAACTAAATATTAAAAATAGAAGTGCCATGCTTGGACGTCTGGAAGAGCTCTTTCTCCAAAGACCTAGTGAGCCACCTATTACTTATAGGTCTGTGAAAGAAAAGCACAAGAGTAGTTTGGTACCTTTTGTGCTTTCTTGTTTTGTTGGGGAGTTGTTATTTACAATACTTTTCACTGAGCCCTAGGTAAGTATGTGATCTTCTGCAGAGCTGTTTCTTGGTAGTAGAGAGGTTTCGTAGAACCCATTTTTCCCCAACCTTGAAGGGAAATGATTTCATCCTAATATAAAACTGCAACCCCATCTTTACATAACCTCCCTGTTTTTGCAGTTCCAATGGGAAGGACTTTTATTATCAGGAGGATGTTCTACACCTGAGAGGGACAGGCAACATCCCGTTCCAGATTAGATTAATATAGGGCTGGAAGAGCAGACTGTGGAATTACTGGGGGGAGAGGGCGAGGAGGGGAACATTGAAACAACAGCTCCAGATAAGCCCACACACAGCAAAACTTCAGAGCTAAGACACAAAGCCATGAACAACTGGTGAGGAACTCCCATCCTGGGGTACCAGTCAAGCCACTAAACTTGTTTTGCTACCTAGGGCTGAAATGGAAACCACTGGGCATGAAGGATTCTTGCCTGAAATAAAGTATCTGTCTAAACTACTGATTGTAATGGTCCACAGCCAAACCTATGCTTCAAGAGCAAAGATTAAGTCCATGGTGCCTTCCCTGCAGGCTGAGGCTGTGCTGAACACCATGAGGTACAGGCAAAGATGGATGCAGCCCGTGCCAGCAGCAGCTTGCCTCTCATGAGTTTGCTGTGAAACACCGCAAACCAATCCAGAACTTCCACACGAGTGACAGCTCAAAACCCAGCCACTCTGCCAGGCAGAAACACAACACAGTGCCAGGTGTAAGGGCTGCCACCAGCCTCCCACTCTCTGTCTCTCCATGATTTCAAAAGCAGGAGAACAGAAGCCAAAGCCTAGCATGCCTCAGGCAGGGTCTGTGTTGCACCTTTGCAGCAGGCCTCTTGCTCCCAGGTCTGTGAGGACAATTTCCAGGACAGATCCTTGTGCCAGTGCCTGAACACAAGTGACACTGGGAAAAGGAAGGAGAGCCTTCAAATTAACTTTTTGGGAGGTTACTTGTCAAAGATAATCTTTCATGAGGGAGTAATATGGGGGCCATTGCGCTGCTTGTCAAGCCTTCAAGAGACACAGGCAAGCCCTGTAGCCCTGCAGAAGCGTGGTTACATCCAGCTCATTTGTCACCCAGCAAATCCATCTGTCTGAGCTAAAAAAGCTCCTACCATTCAGAGACCTCAGAGTGGTGCTCTTATATGAACCTGAACAGACAGAGAGCTGGAAAGTGCAATGCTTTCCTTTAGGTGCACTCAACCACTATTTGAGAGGACCACAATACACCTTTGTTGAAAATTAATAAGTGATTTTTAGACCTGCTCTTCACTCATCAACAGCCCACACATAGGAACATGTGTCAGAGTGGCCCAACAGAGTTATTAGTCACAGGAGCCTCTAATGAAGCAGCAAACAAGGCCACTGCCAAGTCACACCCCAGCCAATTCCACAGCAGATCTGTACTGTTACAAGCATGCAGCAAAAGATCAGCTTTCCTCCAGACTTACATTTCCCACTGGACCAGACTTTGTAAGGAAAGGCCATAGAAATCTCACACATAGCTATACTACACACATATATTGTACATATAAAAATAAAAACATGTGTGTGTATATGCACATATAGCTGAAGTTACTTCCCTAGTCTGCTTGGCATCATAATAATTCCTCAGCCCTAGATATCCTAACAATCCAGCTAACTCACACTTATGGTTTGCCCTGTGAAAACAGGCACTGTTTGCATTTATTTTAGTAATAGGGAAACTGAGGGCCAAAGCAAAACAGACCCCAAGCAGCAAATGCAGAACAGCCTCCAGCTCCTTTGATAAATTATTTGGAGAATTTAGCTCACAGCCTGCCCCTGCAAGATAGGAAAATAAATTCAGCTGTAATGGGTACAGAAGCAGTGCTTCTTAAACAGTCTTCTTGGTGCACCACTGGAACTTGTGGCTTTGGAAAGTGAAAAGCCATCCCAGACAGTCAGATCAAGAAGTTTGGATTTGAGTTTTTTGATATTTCTCCTTTAAAAAAGTTATTTCCTGATTACTGATTCTTAAAAATGATACAGAAAAATCACATCTTTCTGAACACATGGCATTACCAGAAACCAAACTGTATTCCTCTGTCTACAAGAGAATATCATTGGTGGGCATGTTATAGAGATGTTGCATGAACTTCTGGAGCAACATATACTATTGCTGCCAAGAGAATGAGCATTAGTCTCCAGGAATCTGCAGTCAGCTCTAGTTAGACATAAGTCAAAGTCAGACTGAAAGATTTTCATTATATTCAGCTATGGCAAATCCCTTCTCAGCTGGCTTTGCAACACATAACCACATCTGCTGAGTCTTAACAGACACGGTGCAGCTGCTGCAAACAGCTCCAGAAAAAGCTCCTAAATATGTCGGGGCACAAAGGGGCTAAAAGATTTCTCCAGCACCACCTGAGCTTTGGTGCAGCACTTATTTCCTGCCATGAAACAGAAGCAACACTTCCCCTAACACCAAGCATCAGGGTGCAAATCCCCCGGGGTAACTGATGTTTTCCCCTCCTCTGGATCACTGAAAGCTCCAGATCAAAAAGCAAAACAAAACACACACCCAGTTCAAGATATAAACCTACTGCTGTGTAAGTAGGAGGGTGGGAGAAAATTGCTACACTGTTAAAATATGTTCCTGAATTAAAATACAAGGATGAAGCAGACATGTGAAAGAATACTGACTCAGGCCTGACACAGTGATTGTGCAAGGATGGGGAGGAAGTTAGATTTAGATCTTAGCCATGGAAGGATGTTCCCCTTTCACCATTTGTTTTGACTCCTTTGCCCTCCCCTGAGCTTAGGAAACTGAAACTGCCTTGGTTCCATTTTATTTTTGATTTCTAATCTGTTTCCTATCCTATCCATCTTTCAGAGGCACAACGTTGCTCTTATATCTCTGCTTCCAGCCCAGCAGGAAAAATTACATTACAAAGCAGCTGCTAACAGAAAAAAGTATTCTGGTTGAGCTATTTATCTTCCTAAACTTGGGTCTTGAACAGGTAGTACTTTTCAGCTTACACTCTCCCTGACTCCATGATAGGGACACTGGAAGACACCGTGTAATTTCTCATAAGTGAAGAGCTACGAGTTGTGGGTCACTTCAATAGGCCTATGGCATCATTCAATTTAATGAGTTTTAATTGCATATTGCAGCAGATGACTGGAAACTAATACTGAAACTTGGGGTGTAATTACATATCACCAATTATCTTACCAGCTGTTTGTTGAAGTTCTGCACACACTGTTCAAACTGCTCATCTTTTGTTTCATCTGCTTTCCCAAGCTTCTGAAGGACCTGCAGAAAGAGAGGAGAAAGACAGGAGACTTCAAATACAGATATAGCAAAGCAGAGGCAAAGAAACAGTTGCAAGTTTTTGCTCATGAAGCTGAAAGAAGAAAAGTTGAACAGTCTTCCTTATTCTTGCACTCAGAATTTCTGGAATATTTATCGACACTGTCACAGTTTGAAAAAGGACTTACAGATGAGTCAGGATGAACTCAGACCTCTTATTCTTTACTGTACCGAAGAGCATGACTGAGGTTTGTCCTTCACTGGTCTAATGCTTTTTGCAGACAGGGTAATAACAACCCAGTTGTTTATCTCCTGGACCAACAAGAAACAAACCACATCCCTAATATGCCTTGTGTTGTGTGGTTACACTTGTCCTGATTTAACACTAGTCTCTGGTCCAGACAGGGTGGGGTTTTTTGCTCCCAGAACAGCTGGACTGTCCTCAAACACAGAAAGCCATGCAGAGACCACCTTAGAGAGAGAAGGTGTGGGAGCAGTGAAAGTCCCACCTTCTTTTCACCTTTTCTCGCTATGTACGTGCTTGGCAGGACCAGGCTGTTGAGAGCAGTTGGTGACTTTACACTATGAATCCACGTGACACTCAGTGTAAGTGTCAAGTCTGAGTGTCAGCAGATAGTCCTGTTCCTCTCACCACCTCCCTGCACAGCACAGCTCCCCACAGCCTGCAAAAAAATCCTTATCACACTACTTCCCTTATCACCCTTCTCTCTTAACGGTCTCTCCATGCAGCTAAGTGGATCGCTCCCAGGCTTTGAACAAAGCATTTCATTTTCTGGGCATGAAGATAGGTCCATCAGAATAAGGCTGAGCAAAGTGCAGCTGTGGAGGAGGGCAGCAGTTATTTGTCATGTCCCAGGCAACTCCATCATCAGAGAGGCAAGGCTGTAAATAATAGCTGGTTGAGCTTGATTACAACATCTTTGTTAATCAAAAAAAAAAACCTAATCATGACTAAAAAAAAACCAACAACAAACAAACAAAAGAAAAAACTCACGCAACATCTTGCCCCACCAGACCGGTAAAAAAAAAAAAAAAAAGATAAAACTCCACACTGTCCTCAGTCACAGGAGATTCTAGGGAGCCAGAGGTGGGCTAGAAAGGGAGCTGACAGAACACCTCAAAAAGCAAGAAAGCACTGGCTGACAAGAGCATGACTGCCCAAGAGGCAGAAAGCACTGGAAAGCTGAAGACTCTCCTGGTTCCCTGAGCACAGCAGTCCTTTAGCCACAGATCTCAGGCATCATGTTCAGTCCCTCTTGGGGAGAAGACGGGCAAGATGGAAAACCAGGTACATGTTACTGCCATCAGGTCTACAAGAAGGCCACTAGTAAGTGTCCCCAGACAAGCTGATCTGAGGGACTTCCAGATAGCCATGACAGTCACCCAAACTAGCTTCCTCCAGCTCCCTTTGCTACCTGCAGACCTTCTCAGAGGACGTAAAGAGGATTTTTCACCTGCAAGGCATCAATCAGACTTTCATGTTTGATCCCCAAAATGGCATCGAGAAGGTCCATGCAACAGGATGTAGTATAGAATAGAATATTTTCATTTGGAAGGGACCTACAACAATCATCTAGTCCAACTGCCAATGCACCTACTAGCTGACTCTTTTTACACTGCCAAGGTGGAAGACATTTGTGTTATGTCTGTTTGGCTAATCTCAGTTCCCCTCTCCCACATATAAGCATGGATTCCCAGCTCACCCATGACCACAATAACTGACTCAAGCTCCAGACACAATAAATCAGTGCAATCATTCAGCACCCAGCTCATAAATCCCCCTTATTTAGGCTGGGACTGAATGCCTATGAGGGAATCAAAGTTTTTCATTCTCCCTCTGTTCAACAGCCTGTCTTCACCTCCAGAAATCGGTGAGGCATTCAAGTGTCAGCAAAAGAAGGAGAAAGGACACATACAGATAAAGATAGATGCTGTCTTTGTGACCAAGGGCTGAACCAAAAACCTCCAGAGTTAGAAGCACAACTTTCTACAGTTCAAGCAGAAGCAACAAATACTACAGCTACAATTGCCTAATGTGCTTGGTAAACCTGTCTGCACAGCAAGACAGAGCACAAATATTCCCATCTTCCTCTCAAACCCTTGTCACATAAGAGTTGGCTGTAGAGCAGAAGCAGCAACATTAGCTAGACATGCAGAATCCTGTACACCAGCCACTGGTGCCTCCCTTGCTCATCTGCTCCAGTGAAGGGGAGCACATGCCACAACAACACTGCTGATGAGGCTACACATCCCTTTGCTGTAACAGGAGAGAAGGGTTCAGTACGACCTCATCTTTCTCATCACCGTGGTATGGTGAACCTCTTCCAGAAAGGATGCTGCTCAAAGGCCCTGTGTTCAGCTGTATTCCCCTAGGCTACCAGATCTATGGAGCATGGATTTTCCACCTGCTGTGTGACTTTCTAGATGTCCAAAGAGCCATCATGCCAGTAGCATCCATCACCCATAACAATAAAGTACACAAACAGCAAATTCCAAAGCAGAATTATGTTCCCAGTGTGCAAATCAATAGAATTATTAGGGATATAAAGGAGCTTTTTATAGGGCAATGCATCTGCCTGGCTAGTCAAGGAGACTGGATGCTTTCAGGACCGGAGGGGAGGGAAGGATACCATTTAACTGGGAGGAATCTGGAGTATGTCACTGGGGTCAAAGGTTTAGAACAGCCTCAGTGCTTCCTGGTGTAAAATGCTAAACAGCACCCACAGGCTATTCATTGCGACAGCCATGGGCCTGCATCCCACATGTCCAAAAAGTTAATCTGCAGTTCCACTACTCCTTGATGACACAAGCACACTGAGTCTGGGGTCATCTGGACAGCTGGGAAGATCTTGTGCAAAGCACCTCAGCATAGTGGAACAAGTCCTGCAAAACACTGGGCGCTGGAGAGGGCTCTAACTCACAGCCTATCTCTAAGGAAAAAATTCCTGCTTCAACAACAAGGCTCAGCTGATGAGCAGCTCTGAACGAGGGCGAGGAAGTAACAAGAAACCCTGCATTTTTCCACAGTGGTGACATCAGGCAGGTGAAACAGAGGATTTGGGGACACCAGCAGAGGAACAAGGCCAGGAAAACAAACCCAGTTACAAGAGAGAGGATGTGAGAAGTGAAACCCTGGCTACACCAAAAAACCTGCTCTTTCTTCCTATACTCTTCCCCCATCTGATAGATGAAGGCTTGTGCCCCACAACTGCCGGCCCTGTGGGCAAGTCCCAGCCATACACCCCGCTCTGATCCTTCTGTTACTTGTTATGACACAGTGGAGATACAACAGCCCTAGGCTGCAGCAGGGCAGGGGTTATCTTCTCATACCACTGTCTCTCAAAAACAGATTTGCCCCATATAAACAGCCTACAGGTCAAACCCTAAAGACATTTGAGCAGCACAAAATGATGGCTCCACAAGGCTGGCCCTCACGCCTGCACCCAGCTCTCCAGACAAAGAGCTGTACAGGCAAGCTGTACTACGAGATTCCCCTGGACCCCTCTAAACCAGCCAGTGATGAAGCAGATAGCCCTGGGTGTGCTGCTGACCACAGGCATGTCTGTGCTCACTGCTAATAACCCATGAGCTCACAGGACAACTCCCCTCCCCAGGCTGGTAGGTGCCATCATAGGTCAGGCTATTCCGGGTGAGCCACGGCTGCCCTCTCCCTTCCCCTGCGATGGTCTTTAATCCTCCAGCTCACTGCAAAGCCAGATAAAGTTCGGATGGAAACTTCAGGCTCTTTGATAGCTATTAATGGAGCAGATTTACCAGGGTAGGAGTCAGGACCGCACCACAGCTCCCAAATCTCAGGGCGGATCAGAGATGGTGTGATCTGTCAGCTGCTGTCTGGAGGCAAACCACACCAGGCAGCAGGCATGGATCTGGCATTTAAGATTAAGAAGCAACCATGGCTAGCCTCCTTGGTCTGCCCTTGACCCGAGAGATCCTGGCCCTGCACAAGGATATGGATCATTTCAAGACTGCGTAAGCTAGGGTGAAGGAGGGAATACTTTCTATGAATGCCACAAAACACCTTGTGGGATGGATTTCAGAGGAGGGCTCTGGCGTTTGCTGTCTTGGCTCACCCATGGATCCACTATGGGGATATCATCCCAACCATCGTTTTTGTTTTCAGGCACCAGAAATATTTGGCCACTTATACACCATTTTCCAGTGTTGCTCAGAAACCAGGTCTCTTCCAACAACTAGCTAGACCTGCAGACGCTCTGTGTTTCTCATAAAATAGGACCACAGGCACCTAACCAACTACTGCAGTATCTCCAGACAGAGCCAAATTTCACCCATGGAGCCTCAGTTTTCCCTACATTTTAATAAAATCAGCAAGGAACATGGAGATTGAGAGTCTGACTGAAGTTTTAAAACCACTTTAAGATCCTAGGAGGATAGATGTTATTAACAAATAAATAAATTATCACATTCCTATCACATCACACCTGCTGCTGCAGGCAGAACTATTTGCAGTAAGCTTTGAACTGATATACTCTGAGAAGTGAGATAACACAGAAGTGACAGAAATTCAGAAATCCTCTGTACCGGAGATCTGGCATTCTGCTAGCAATGGTCAGAGAAGCAAAGGCATGAAATAGCCTTTAAAACAACAACTTTTCCCAGCAAAAGGGAAAATTTTCTTAGGGAAATCCAAACTGGAGGGTTTCCTCAAAGGCAAGATTGTAATATTCACAGGATGACCGAGCATTACCTAAATACCACAGCTTTGTAGGACTCAAAAGGAAGCATCTTATCTGGCTGCAGTTTACCCTCTCTATTCCAGGTGTACAGGAGGAAACATTCCTAACGGGCAAACCCCCTTCGCATAGGGTCTTTGGTGCTCTGCTCTGGGCAATGGGCATGAAGGAAAAGGAGTTCCGGAGATCAGCCCCGTGATCACCAAACTCTCTGATGTAGAACAGCGATCACCGTTAAGGACAGACACTTGCTGGCAGTGCAGCAGTAGC